CACCGTCCACAGTCATGGACTGAGCGCCATCGTAGGCTCAGGCTGAGAATAATAGAAATGAGAATAGTAGAAAGTGCATGAGTTAACATACTCAATGAATATAACGAAAGGTTGTAGTTTATTTTATATTTTACTTAACTTCAAAAATAATAATATTTCACTAGTAATGTCTTTCAAATCTCTAATAATGCCTTTCAAATCCACTGATAATGACATCCTAATCCACGTTAGATGAATTACAAAACCATTGGATTTTAAAATCCATCAATAATTCAAATCCATTAAAAACACATATCCAATAACACCCCCTTAGGTTTTTGTGTGTTTAGGACGTCGTCTAGTTTTGTTTGGTGCGGTTTCTATTTTTGTCTTTGAGAATATTTGTTAATTATGTAAGTGAAGATTAAGTTTGATTTTATTTTGGAAAATATTTACATATTAATTAAAAATAATAATGCGACCGTCTAGACAAATTGAAGTCTTTATGATAGACCTAATTGTGTAGGTTTCTATTTTCTTGAGAAATATATTTAGCAGCATCAGTGTTCGCATGCACACGTTTCTCCGTTATTTACCTGAAGTCTCTCCGGTCACAATCTTAACACTATAAATTAACTTTGGAGTGTTTAATTTGCACTAGAAATTCCAATGTTATCTTTTTTGCTTTGACTATAAAGTTATACTTTATATTCCACCTTACCGATAAAAGAATGTGGGCATTTTTTTTTGGAGAAAATGTGATCCATTGGTGATGCAAAGTGTATATATTTAACTGAATCAAACTGATAAGCAAAGTATTTATTTATATAACTTTTGCTTAATTCAATCTTTTGAGAAAAGCAAGTGATCCCGAACTTAAGCCAAACTCAAATTAACTTTGAGGACTTCGACCTTCTTTGTTTTTCTTTTCATTTTAATCTATATAACTGCGACTAATTAGTTATAATTCATTTTTTATCATTTGAATTCATTCATCATATTAAGGTAGATTTTGATGTGTCCACATTGAAATAATAAGCATACAGTATCTGTCTTTTTGTTTCATTAACTCACCCGAGTTTTAGATATAGAATATAAAGGTATGTATTTGTTACAAAATTTAAATATATAACCCATGTTGAGACTATAAAACTTGCTTGAAGTATATATATTAGCCACGAGTTTAAGATGTACGATGACGTATTAAATGCTACCATCTCTTTTGTCTCCCTCTAAAAGTCAAACAAAAATAAGATTGTGTCATTTTCGAGATTCTTATATTAGTTCACTTCTTCTTAACCATCCCCAACTAAAATTTGAAATTTTAATATATAATCGAAAAACAAACAAAGATTACTATACATATAATTTATGTATTAACTTTCTCAAATATATAGTTTGGGGTACTATTACAAATTTTTGAAATCTAAATCAATGAAAGATTATTATGATACAAATATATGCAAAATCAATTTTGTACAGTATCAATGTGTGTTGTACACATAGTCGAAAAATAATTAATACACAAACTATATATGTATATACCTATATCCACAGAAAAAAATAATGCTACTGTTCTTCTTTCGTCTCTCTATTCACGAAATGGCCAAGTCTCCGAACAAGTTTGCCTGCAAAGAGAACCACAACAAACATATTAATAAGAGATCGTCAAAATTCAAGATTAAAAAATATATCTATATATGTATATGACCATCTCTAACTCACTCTATGATATCTTTCCAATAAGAATCACTTGCTTCGTCATCAATTACGTCACACCATGGCTGATGATCTTGGGTGAACGTTGAGGTCGATGAAGGGTTTGAAGTGTGATCAGTATGCCTCAGAACTTCCTTATTCTTGGCCATCATTTGGGTTTGCTTAGACTCATCATCAGGAGATGCCGAAATCAACGGTGGAATAGAATTCTGATAATCTTGATGAGCAACTACACGAATGGGGCTAGTAAACGAATCCAGAGGCGGCTGATTAACAATGTGGGAGAGGCTTTGGGTTTGATCATAAAGATTTTCACCGATACTTGGTAGGTTCTCCAAGAAAGAAGATTGGCCAAAGAGGTTGTTGTTGTTGGTGTGATGAGTTTCAAGTGACGAAGAGGCATTGTTATTGTTGCTAAGGACTTGAATCATACTATGTAACAACTGTGCTTTTGCAACACTTGTTGCGTCCAGTTGTATATTTTGATTTAGATTCAAGAGGTTGTTGAAATTTGCGGCAGCTAGTAGTTGCGGGAGAGCGGCTAGAACGTTTAGATGGTCGGTTCTCGGCCGATGGGTCACTGGATCAATCCCCATCTGCATTAGTTTCTTTCTAATATGAGTGTTCCAATAGTTCTTTATTTCGTTATCCGTTCTTCCTGGGAGATGACCAGCTATAGACGACCACCTTAGCAAACAAATATGGAAAATATATATAATTTTTAGTGGGTTAGTTAAGCTTTATACGTATTATATAAATTTGCCAAGCTATATAACAAGGAAACTAATTATAGACTTAATAATATTGAAACATTGACGAGTAAGTATGCATGCACCAAGCAAACTCCAGTGTAGCAGGTTTTTTCATGTATATTCTTCTATACCTCAACTAACAAAAAAAAAAATGTATAAAAATATACACTTTTAGACTATGTCATATATTTGATGTATAAATATGACTGAAGACTGAGATTTTTAGAAACTTTAAAATTCTATTAATTTTAGCCACACACAAAAAAAAAGGTCTATTGAAATCACTGATAATAAAAATCAGTAATAATTTATAAAATCTTCTAAAGCTCGTCAAGCTAGTATGGAAAAGAATTATATGTTTTCTGATTTTTGCTCTTGATGAATATCTCAAATATTATCATTTCTAATTAAAGTAATTAGGAAAAAAAAGAAGTTTAAAAAAATGTATGATTAGTTACTTGTTTCCAAGAAGAGAATGGAGGTTGATGATGGTCTGCTCTTCCTCAGCTGTGAAGTTTCCTCTCTTGATGTCTGGTCTCAAGTAATTAGTCCATCTCAACCTGCAACTCTTTCCACACCGGTTTAAACCGGCTTGCTTTGGAAGAGCTCTCCAGCTTCCATGGCCATGTTTTCTTATATGATAAATCAGTTTCTGATCCTCCTCTGGTGTCCATGGCCCTTTCTTTAATCCGCTCTCATCGCAACACGGTGATCTCCCCATTTTTTTTTTACAACATATACCTATTAAATGTACCTGTACACAAAGTTAAACAATAGAAAGAAAAATTACAATCAAGTACTTTTAAACGGAAGCACAATTATGTATAACATGTATAATTTTGCTAAGATATCGGATTTAATTATGATCACATAAGAGATTGTTGAGTGAGCATAATAGACCTGTGAGAAAGAGAGATGATTGAGAAGATAGATATAAGATTGTGTGAAGGCAAGATCTTAGTTAGTAGTGTTTTGTTCTTGGCTTTATATATAGAAGAAACACACAGAAGAGGCTTTCGTCTTCGTCTTGTGTCTTGTCGGAACAAGATCTTAGTTAGCTCTTTGTGACGTGTCCATTTGACTTTAATCAAATCGGATAGATGAAATTATGAAAATACCCTTTTGGTGAAACTAGAAGAAAAATGAGAGAAGGAGATGTTCAAGTTTGTGAAGTAATGTGTGGAATAAAAGTTGCTACAACTAATTCATGTTGACAATGTAAGTTTCTCAAACTTTTTTAAAAAGTATGAGAATTAAAATTAAAGAAAGTTAGATATTCAAAGAGTCATAGAATGTAACTCCCGTATTAGTTTAAATTACAATTCCAGTAAATAATTTAAAGTACAATATACAGCTGAGTTTAAAATAACACTATAAACTCTAAAATTTTAAAATGCGAGATACATAGTTTTGTAGTTTGTATTGTGTTTTGATTAATCGGTGTGTCAACACGCAATATAATATATGCTATGTATATTAATAAAAAATAGTAAATAAATACATATGGATTTTGAGCTGTGATCGTGTATGTTTATACACTATTAATTGAAGTACTAATTACTACTCAAAACAATTATTATGCAGAATAATTTATAATGTTATGTTGGCACAACAATATATTGCCCAAGCGATGCAGACAGTGCCTACAATAGTATGGATTACTACTGCTCATTGGTCAACTAATGACACATCTCAACCATATACACATCATATATCATAATAAAGTCAAATTGTATTATTGAACCGTGTTCGGATCAGTCGATAAATAAAACAGTTCAGTTTTTTAAGAAAGGGTTGCCTCTTATCAACTCTATTTAAAATTTTCTTTTACACTCATATATTTAACTAAATCTACTTTTCGAATGAGGTTTTTGATAAAAATTCGAAATTTCAAGAAAATGTAACAAAGCTGTTTGTAACTCTGTACGAAGTATAACAAAAATATAAACTAACGCTTATTAATTATCAACACATTAGCAAAATTATCTATTATTATTTGCAAATATACGCGTGCAGGCGGCGAGGGAATCTGGATATACACATTTACAGTACATTCATTTTCCAAAACGTTTAATATAAAGAGTATTTTGGTCATCTGAAAAAGATTAATCAATTGGTCTCGATATGGTTGTTCATTATTGGTATAAATCTAGTTTTAAGCACATTAAGACACGCAAACTATTTTGTTTGAGATCACAAACCCATGGGGTCCCCCAAAAACCCTAATAACTACTATTTTCTTGTTTCTTTCTTGATTCTTGTATGTAAATCTTTCTCTATATATATTGCTGACATCATTTTTTAATATGAACAAACGTGAGAAGGCATCCGTATATAAGTAGTAGCCATGACATAATAATATATAAAATCAGTGGTAACGATTTCGAAATCTCAATAATCATGCTTTTTTTTTTACTATTGAAAACAGGAGAAAGTGATATTTCGTATATAGAAGTTTCCAACTAATCCGAATACGACAGAGCATTCCTATCCCACAAATTAAATGATCTTCCTAGCTATAGCCAAACACACTTTATAATTCGGTCTTCGGTCTTCGGTCTTACCTAAAGTGCATTTACGGAATTACGGTGTTTAACAAAGTTACAAGTACACAATATTACATTCAATGGTTTTGAAAATGTAATTGATAAGATTTAGATGTTGATAGATGAAATTAACTAGTACAGCTTTCATCAAAGCTAGATACATATCTTTTCATAAGAAGAATATCCCTTTGTGATGCTCAATAAATAAATAAATAAAGTTTCCAGAAGAAGAATTAATGGTAAAAATAAAAACTCCGAAAATTAATATGAGGACAAAACTAAATTATCCTAATCTCTAGACTAATTTTCTCCATAATGCACAACCCAACGCCATGAAATTGTAAATACGGACGTTAATCCTTTTTATGTGCCTTTTAATATACGTACATGTACACGGCACATCTATATATAATAGAATCAAGTATAATTTGTGTATTATTATATACGTACACATATAATTAAACCATCAATATTTGCTAAAAGACAAAACAAAATAAAATAATACAGTACTCACGCAAGCTAAAACCTGATTGGATGTTGCTATAATACTCGTAGTTCCCAAAGCATAACACAACATAACTTAGAGAGTAATTAATTAACTTAATTATCTCTTATGCGAGCCATGCAATGTACGTAACGTTACGTTCGGATTTAGAGAACGAATATTTTCATGTACTGTCACTAGTGGACGAAACCAGATGTAATCTTATGATGCTTATGTTTTGGTCTCTTGTTCAAACATATAATTCATAAGCAATAGGTTTGAAATTATTTTTGTGTTCTGCAAATGATCAACCAGCAATTCGATCTACATGCATGGACTATGCTCTTTTTCGACTAGTTGTCCCTATGTATAATAATACAAATAAGATCGGATTAACTCGTTTAATAAAGATATATATCACACACACACACACATATATAGCGTACGTCATATGTACTGATAAGTTTGTATTCTTTTGCGTATAAGATTTGATCTAGTTAAATTCTGTAAAGTAGTTTGATAGGCAAATCGTAAGTTTACGGAAAGAAAAAATTAGATATTTTAAGATGTTCATAATAAATAAATAGAACGTTTGGATAATTAGCTTTTTCTCTGTCTTATCAATATACTTATTTATATATATAACACGAAAAATTTGGAATATGGACACATTAAAAAAGACTGACACAAGTATATTTCTATCAGTATACATACTAATATGTATTTGATTGAATTACGCAACATAAAAGATAATTTGGTCAAATTTTGTCGAAAATACAAAAAAAAAAAAAAAGAATCCCATAAGGTGTAAAATAAAAACGTTTATCACGTACGTACGTAGCTAAATGAAAGATGAATGGAACAGATGAACAATACCAATATTCTTTTTACCATCTACGTATACTTTAGTTAGTAAACAAAGGTTTCGTTAAACTAAAGATTTGTCTATTTTTAACCAACGATTTTAACTTTTTCCGACCTTTTGTTATCCGTTTGAAAGTCAAAAAGACTATGAAACACAACTACTGTCTTTCATTCATGTAATAATGTCTTTCTTTTTTTTTTTACCGTGGGATGGGAAACTTGTTAGTTCAGTTCTGTCCGGTTAAAACTCTTTATCCTACAGTTACTTAACGTGAAAAAACTTCATTACAATGATACCTACCAGTTTTTAATTAGAGAGAACCAAATAGCTCTTCGCAATTACAGCGAATAATTAAGCATGGTTCTTTTTTAATTCCGAATTAAACGAAGTCGTTTCATTCTATCGGGCTGGGCTTCGAATTGCTCTCTTTTAAGTGCAATGGCCCAGTTATACTTGAGGTGTCTTTGGACCTTGGTTATTATTTTTTGGATTCGTTTGTCTCTAAAAATAGAAAGGTACATGTGTATTATGAGAATACTATTAGAAGGTTATAGTTATACAATACGTAATGCAAGAAAAATAAAGGAATCAATTCCTGGATATATTTGTAATAGAGATTTTAGTTTCTGGGTTTGTTGACAAAAGAGGGAATTAACTACCACAGTGTTTGGTTCAAAAAAAAAAAAAAAAAAAAATCTACCAGTGTAAGCCAAAAAAAAATCGAAAGAAGAAAAGAATCATAAACCAACAACTTAAACAATCCTATTCGAGAAGAACTGAAGAAGCCATAAACCAAAAATAATAAGAACATTAATGAAGAAATCAAAATGGTGCAGAGAGAAAGATGTGTGTATACCTCAAGAACAAGAGAGAGGCTTTGTATTTATTTCTGGTTCATGGGTCCTTTCTTCTTAAGAAGATTTCCAACTTTACCAAACAATGTCTTCTTCTTTTTCTTCTCCTTCTCCTTCAACAGCTCATCTTCTCCAGTTAATCCATTTACAGGTGAGGTTTTCTCGCTTTGGTCTTTCATGTTCGTCTCTTCCTCCTCATCTTTTGCAGACTCTTGTTCTGGTTTCCCCCTGTGGAAACCTTCTTTCTTCTCAATCTGACAGCTTTCCCACAGTTCTTCAACTGTCGCATTATCTGGTGAATCTTCTTTCTCTCCCTTCCTCTCAAGTTTCATGTCCATGCCATCGAAGGTTTTTACTTTACAAGACTCGTCTTCTGCACTTCTATGACCATTCTCCTCAGAAAACTCAACCACCTTTGGAAGCAAATCATAGTCTTTCTCACTCTCACTGAGTTCACTGTTCTCTTCTGTATGTTTCTTAGCCAATGCTTCCTCGAGCAACTTGGACAACTTCTTGATCTGTTTAAGAGAATCATCCTGTTTCACTCTGAGTTCATCGTTCTCATGAACAATGCTTTGAAACTCAGTTTCTTTATCCAGCATTTTCCCCTTTATTTTCAAGGTTTCAGCTTTAGCTTCCCTGAGAGTCTCCTGAAGATAAATCACCTCATCTTCCACTTCTTTTAGACTATCTCTCATTTGAGATTCTTTTTCCCATGCTGCATCAGCTTCTTCCTTTGTCCTTTTAACCAAATTACCCAACCTATTCATTTCTTTCCCCATTGAAGAAACTTCTTCATCAAATTCCTTCACGTGATTCACCAAACCGGCTTCTCTCATCTCCCAGTCTACCATTGCGCTCTCAAACTGTTTCTTTGTTTGTTCTACCGCATTGACAAGAACATCAATCTCATGTCTCGCCTCGTCAAGCATATTTTCATACTTTTTGTTCGTTGTTTTAATGACCAACTTCAGATCTTCAATCTGTGTTTCATAATCCTGATCACCTTGACTCTGCAATTTTTCTTTCAACTCGCGTGATTCACTCGACACTTCGTGCAATGCTGAAGCCAAACTCTCCATTGCTTTCTTACTCTTCTCCTCTTCTTCCTTTGAGCTCTCTAGATCTGACAAGATCTTGTTTTTCTCTTCCAAGAGCCTTTGAACACTTGAAGTAGCATCTTGCTCCTTCTTTAAAGCCTGATTTTTCTCCTCATTCAGAGTTTCAAGCTCATTCTTCAGTTTCTCTGCTTCTTTCTCCATCTTAGATAACTCTTCCTCTGCAGTACCTAGCCGCAGTTCAGTTTTCTCAAGATTAACCTTTTGGCTAGCAACGGTCAACTCCAATAACACAATTTTCTCCTTATGATCCGTAATTTCAGATTCCATGGCGTGCAATCTATTATTGCTTCCTTCCAACTGCTTTGTCACAGTTACCAGAGATACCGAGGCAGATCTCTCCAGCATGTTAGCTTCTTCCAACCGTTTCTCCAATTCTTTCGCTTTGTTCTGCCACTCGTCAGCAAAGCCGTGCGCATAAGATTCTGCCAACTTGGCAGCTTCTAAGTCAACATTAAGCTGCTCAATGATCATCTCTAATTCCTTGACCTTTGCTTCAAAACTTCTCGCTTTCTCAAGCTCTCTTTCTAAAACCACTATTTCCGCTCCTAGTTTTGTAGCAATCTCATTCTTGGTTATGGTTTCCTTCTCTCGGGTTGAATCAAGCAAAGCCTTCAACCTTATTAGCTCCGAGGACAAGATGTCCACTTTCTCTGCATGAATTGCAGCCATCTTGCTAGCATCATCTGCTTGACTCAAAACCTTACTCTGAGCATCATTAGCAGCAGCCAATTCTTGATTGGCCTTCTCCAGCTCCTGGTTTACCAAAAGAAGAGCAGCTGAATCCGTAGCATGTTGGTTCTTGACATTCTCGAGTTCTCTCTTCCATTCTTCTTCTTTTCTCTGAACAGCCTCTATACCCGCCTCAACTGCCTCAAATTTCTCAATTTCAAATACCTCTTGGGACCTTTTCTGAGTTTTTAAAGCCTCATCTAGTTTCCTGGATGCTTCTTCAGCCTCTTCCCGCGCTGCTTTAAGTTCATCAAGTGCCTTAGCTTTTTCATTCTCGAGCAATGTTATCAGTTCATTCGCTTTCCTCAGATCTTCCTTGAGATGAATCGAGCGAGGTTGGGAATCTGATCCTTTCACAGCCCGTGTTTGAGTTTTCTGCAAACAATCATTAGACAACAAAAATGGATATCAAGAGTTGCAGCATAGTGTGGCAACACAAACACACAACTGAAGAACGAAAAAAAGCATCCTCAATTCAAGATATCAAAAATAATTAATGGGACACTTACCTCTGGTGGGGTTGGAACTTTGGGGGACCTCTTTTCAGTAGAAGAAGGCTTTGAGTTAGAAGAAGAGCGCTCGAGGGAAAGGCGTGACTGTTGAGTAGTAGGTGAAGGAGAATTAAGTTCAGATTTCGTCACTAACCGAGTCAGTTTAGCCACTCTTAGAGATGGTTTGCCCAAAGGAGTTTCAGATAAACCAGTCCTGCTTCACAAAACAACAACAAAAACAAAAGTCTCATCAAGCTAGTAAAAAAAAGGAGAAAGCTCTCTATACTCGCAGAGAATTGAGTACTCCAAAATGTCAATGCAAGTGAGTAACAATTTCCAGAGGTCGGTGATTATCTAAATAAACAAGGCATCACAAATTCACCAAAGTTTTGCAGCTAAAGAAAGACATATGTATCTGGATAAGGAAACAAGAAGTACAGATGGAGTCTTTCTCTCACTCTTGTGAAGTCTGCCGTATAAAAACACTAACCGAATCAATGGAAGACTTATATATACAAGAGCTAAACTTAGAAAGTAAAACAGAAGAAGAAATATAGAAATCAAAGATTTAATAAGAAGACGACATGGCATTGTATATATAATAAGATTAAAACGGGGATGATGGATGATCATACGAATAAAAATAATATGATGGATGGATCATGTGGGCTACAAAACTATATACTATATTCCCGTAAGAAAAATTAGAAGATTACTAAATCCTAAACCCATAACCTATATTAGATAGATCTACCTCAAAAAAAAAAAAAAAAAATCACAAACAACGAAAAAGAGGAAAATAAAACCAAACCAGATCGGAATTTGAATCGAGGGGATATTTCTACCGACCAAAAAAAAAAAAAAGGATCGGAGGAGAGTGGCACTTAACGCTTACTTAATCTTAGAAGAAGCCATAATCACAGTCTCCGTTTCGCTGGATCACTGAGATTGTAAATAAATCACATTAGAGGAGGCGATGAAGGAGCTATGAGAATTGAGATTAAAAGAAAATACAATTACTAGTAACATCTAGTAGAACCTGCAAATAATTTCAAATTTGTTCAAATTGGGTTTCCATTTATTTTGCGTAGAGATGAAGTGAGAGAGAGAGAGAGAGAGACAATGATTCGGATGATCAGAGTAAAGGAACGACTGATGAACTAACGTAGAAGAATTATACAAGTTGGTGTGGTTCTGTCTCTCAAGACTGACTGAGGCCAACACTCCCAAAAAGCGATAAAGCCAATACCGTATATTGTACTCTGTGTATGTATATTACTAGTAATTAATAAAAATTCCGATTCGCCTTCCTATCCTACGTGATTAACGCAAACAATAACGACTTAGCTACCGTATTAACAACACCAATACTACTACTAGTACATTTATTTATTTTTATCTCGCTTGATTCCTTTTTTTTATCATCCATCATAAATCAAAAACGTAAGATTTGGGGGAAACAAAAGACGACTAACTACTGTATATTCTAATTAGTTTATTTCCTAAAGATTATTGTTTTTGTGTCTCATCATCAAGGATTCAAGATTAATAGTAGCCAAAGTTTTAGCAATGCAACGAGAGATATTTTTGTGGTGTGGCTAAAATACAATGTCAAAAGATAATGATGAAGTGCGAACCAGTTTCTTCTCAACTGTAATATACTTGATTCATTCTCATCTTTTTTCTTTTTTTTTTTAACAATCGCAATCAACCAATTTTTATTTTATTTTTACCCACCCAGAAATAAATCAATCATTCATCAATGGCTTGTTGAATCTTATTAGATGGCTAGCTACCACTCGACAAAAAATGTTGTCGGGCCTAGTGGGCCAATATTTATTAAGGTCCATTAATTAACCGCAAGAAGGACTTGGAGTCTAAAATCTCCCCCCACATGCCTAAAATAAGTGCTGACCTGGCTCCTTCCTTTTAAAGCCCCCTTTAATAATATCGACAAATAATTTCATTTTTTCGGATTATTATTATTAGACCCAAAAGAAATATGCTCTCTGAATAAAATAAATAAAACTCACTTGGAAAACTTTGTCCCGGGAAAATGCAGAGACAGTTTTGGCGGGAACTCTACACATATTTTACCTTTTTTTTTTTTTAAATGTTTTTGTTGGCGAAAAGTTGAAATTTGTAATTTGTAGTAGATATGGAAATTTACTAATTGGTTAAAAAGTTATTTAAAGAGTCCCTCTCTCCAGTCCAGCTTCTTATAATCGAGTGATATTTTTCAGAAAGCGGTGGAGGATCGAATTTTAAGGCGACGAGCGTTCCATTAGGGTTTCGAATCGACTCTGCGACAAACCAGTTCAAAAACATGTACGGTGGCGACTTTGACGGCAACGCCGCTTTTGCCGGCGGCGGTTTCATGCCTTCTCAGGCTACTACCCAAGCGCATGACTCCTCTTCGTCCCTCAAGGTTCGTTTCCCCTCTCTCTCTCTCTCTCTCTACAATTATCTTCTCACTTCGATCAATCCTTTCCGCGTTTTCTTCAATCCAAGTCTATCGATCGTGTTTTCTCTCTATATCAATCTAATTGAATTTGCGATTATCTGTGCTTGTTTTTTTAGTATCTTACTGATTTTATCGGTTTCTAGTTGTTTCTCGGGAAAATTAGTAGAATCAATTCATGATAGTCCCACTCGAGTTTTCTATTGAAAAGTATCGAAGAACAAGTTGATGAACAGAGAGCTCTCGTAATGATGCTGTTTTCGTGATTTTGCATCTTATCATAGATCTATACATGTCAATGTCAATACACATTATGTTTGTCAAGTAGTGAATCTGGTGTCATAGACATCGTATGCTGTGCAGCATTTTACTTGAACAATTCAGCAATGTGTGAGTTTAATTTTCACCACTGTTTTGCAGAACCGTGATGTGCGTACCTTGCTTCCCCTGACACTGAAGCAATTGAGTAGCGCATCAACCAATGGTGAATCAAACTTCTCTGTAGATGGCGTTGATATTAACACTGTAAGCTCTTTTTCTTCTTCTTCTTCAGTTTAACTTATTTGCTGATATGTTATTACTTATTAACACTGTATCTCTACTGAGCAAGCATTTCACCTTTGTTTTATTTTATTTTTTTATGTGTATAGGTTGCAATAGTTGGACGAATTTCTAGAATGGAGAACAGAATTACTCAGGTCGATTTTGTTGTTGATGACGGTACCGGCTGGGTTGATTGTGTCAGATGGCAAGTACTTATATACTTACGCTAATCGAACCTCTATATGAAAATGTTATCTCAAGATCTCAACTATAGCTCTTGCTAATTTACTGTGGACCACTATCTGCAGGTGTCAAGAACGTCAAGAAACTGAAGAAATGGAAGCAGTCAAGTATGTTTCTGCTGTACATTTGTAGATTCTTCTATTTCGTTTTGTATGACTATAGAATTCATTTTTTGATATTCCACATCCTTTACAGGCTAGGGATGTACGTTCGCTTACATGGACACCTGAAAAGTTTTCAAGGGAAGCGATCTGTGAATGTTTTCTCAATTAGGTTTGTTTCTATGACATACTTCCTCGATCAGTCTATTATATACTTGGTCAGCGAACAATTTCCTATTAGGCTTTCGAGATTTGAAATATCTGTTTGATATGTGATATTTTATACTCAGTGGCTCAAAATGTTACATCTTCCATTTTTCTTTGTCCAAGTGAATGAATTTGCTGCATCTTAAAGATATATACTCGAGTCTAATAATATCCTTTCAGGCCTGTCACTGACTTCAATGAAATTGTTCACCACTTTACTGAGTGTATGTATGTCCACATGTACAACACCAAGTTACGGGTATTAGCCCATCTTTTGCCGCTATTTTAATCTTTGTTCCACAGCTTTTAAACTTCTCATGTTAGAGACTAACCTCTGTTACTTCAGGGTGGTTCTATTACTCATGGTGGCTCTAATACTCAAGCTACGGCTACTGCTAGGCCCCAAATGCCATATTCAACAATGCCAACCTCTGCAAAGCCATACCAAACTGGTCCATCTAATCAGGTATTAGACAGATCCAATCTAGAATTCAAATTTTACATGCTCTTTTGTGGCCCTCTTAATTTACTGAAGAATCTTTTCCAGTTCTCGAACCAAATCAATGATCCAATGCATGGTGTAAAGCAGACGGTCCTGAATTACCTGAATCAACCTATGCACCTGTAAGTTCATCTACTATGCCCAAAAGACCCCAGTTAACTTGTCATATATATCATTCGTACAGCTTTGAGTGCTCATGATCAAACTTCAGGTCATAAAATAAGTAAATTAATCTCTAAAGACCCTATGAGCCAAATTTCGTTAATTTGTAAGAAAAACTCATTCAGCTAGCACAAGTATATATAAGCCTTGTCGCTGGTTTTTGAAATTGTGATTTTCTTTTTTGTTTTGAAATTGTGATATTGATGAAGATGAATGTTGTCTTGTTAGTGATAATTGTATTGCCATATGAGACTCAACTTCTTTCGTTGGATCATGCCTCTCTTTCGGTCATCCAAAAGCTAACTAAGTTTGATATTTGGTTTTATATATGTTTGATCTACATCAGTGTATCTGAAGCTGGAGTTCATTGTGACATAATTGCGCGTGATCTCAGAATTCCTCCGCTTCAAGTCAGGTATATCTCTCTATCTCTATCTCCCTCCTCTCACTTATCTATACTTGAAAGAGTTTCAATATAAACGAAGAAATTTTATAGACAAGAACTGCTTTGTCTCTGTGGCAGGGAAGCGATAGAACAGCTCTCCAACGATGGCTGCGTTTACTCGACTGTGGACGATACATGCTTCAAATCAACAGCAAACGCTTGATAGAAAATGGATACATGCCATCACACATCAATCCTTTTCTCAAGTTTTAAAGCCTCTTTGTATAGGCCCTAAGGTAGGAAGATTATGTAGCTTCAAGACTTAAAAACTTTCTTAAGGCTTTCGGCTTTTTTTGGTTTTTTTTTTGGGTTCGTACGCCTGGTACATCTTTTAATGAAAAACTGAAAGATTATTAAGAAGCATTGGTAGTTAATAATACATTAAGTTGACATCTTGCTAGTTGTCCATTGAGTTGGCAAAGGTTTAGCTTATAAAACTCAGTTTCTTACTAGTAATTAAAAAAAAAGTGATGGTTTTCCTTTTGTTTAAAGTTTAGTGACATGGCCATGGCAGGTCGTTTCCTTTTGTCGATATGTTTATAAAAGAATTATACTAATATAGAAGTCAAGTAATTGAGAGAGATGCGACAACTCCTGAATCTCCTTGAGGCACATACACCTACTTTTTTATTAGAAAGACACGAATGCTAATCATCTTTATGCTTAAACTATGGAAATATGTAAATCTAAAGATGCACAGATTAGAATCCAGGATACGAGATTCAAGAAACATCATTGAACTGTCTAAAATCTAAAGACCCTGACCTCTTTAGGGAACTCACCCATAAAAACTCACCTAAAACGTATTTTTTTTAAAAGATGGGATCGATCGTACGTGTACGTTTTACATCCAACAAATCACAGAAGAACCTCAATCTCTCTCTCTCTCTCTCTAGGGATAACAACAAAACGATTGTACGGATACGACGGACGGACTGACTGACTCGTGGGGACCCTTACAAGTAACTCTCTAGAATTTGTGTTTTGTGTTTTTTTATTTTTTATTTTTCCTTTTTGTTTCCCCCGAAGAGAAGAAAAACAAACAAACAAAGAGAAAGAGAGAGAGAGAGAGGAGAGAGTGGGTAGAAGAAATAGGAATCAATCACATGGAGAAGATACGAAAATACGGATATGATCCAAGAAGCTAAGATGCTGAGGCCTCTCAGTGCGTTTCACGTACCCACGCGCTTCCTTCTCCGTGTACGCGCCGAACGATCTCCCGCGATTCCTCCTCCACAGCTCCTCCTCGTAGCTCTTGTGCGCGTAATACGCCTCCACCACCACCGACGACGATTGCTCTGTTTCCAGATCTCCTCCCTCTTCCTCCGCTGCGGCTAGACGGATCGGCTGCCTGACGTAATGGCCGCGGCTGATCCCTTCGAGCTCGTCGAGACGAGAGAGACCTCGAGGGGAAACCGCGTAAAGCTCTCCCGTCACGTGGTGGCCTGATCCAGGTTTGTTGAGGAGGAAAGGGACTCGGTATGGTCCGCAGACGAGAGGGTATTTGTCTGAGGTGTTGTATACTCCTTTGAAAGATGCGTCGCCTGATCGGATCAGATCTTGCATCAGGACATGGTTCGAGAATCCTCTCTTCAGAGTTCCGTACGTGAACACGAGCGTCGTTGTTGTTGTCGCGGTCTGTTTCGCCGGCGCCATTGTTTCTTGTCCCATGATGACTCAGTTGATTGATTTTTAGGCTTAGAACAGATCAAACGGAATATCTGTGTGGTTGGTGAAGAAAATTAGAAAATAGAATCAGAATCGAAGAGAGAGAGAGAGAGATAGGAATCTCTGATTTTTAGGATGTGAGAAATTTTGGGTTAAACCCGATGACGCCTTTATATAGTAGTACGCGTTTTTTATTTTATAAAATAAAATCTTTAAAAGTTTAATTTACTTTTATAAATTTACCAGCCCTAACTTAATTTTGTAATTAATTGCATGACAAGATAAAATGTAAAATTATAAATTTACTAATCAAATTTGTAAATTGGTGTTACTATTTGTGAAATGAAAAATAAAATAAAAAAAATGATGACGCAAGTTGTAATATGAAGAAAAGGAAATAGTATTGAGGGGAGGTGCACTCGGGTCACAAACGTCGTATCATATACATTTATTAGTTTTATACCAACATATCATATGGTAAGGTTGACAAAAAATATAAGTATATACAGGTTATTTTCGTAGAAAGAATTATAATTTCACATAGTTTTATGCGTTAAATTATTACAAATAAAAACAAAAATAGTTAAATAGATAGCAATAATTGGGGTGAGAAGTTGGTGTATCTGGGTTACGTGTAGACGCAGACTGATGCAGCACCATACATTACAGCCAAGTTGCTAATTTCCTTTTTATTTTATTTTACCTTTTATTTGCTTTCCAAAGCAATCCTATTTTTTAAAAGAGTCTCTTCTTAACCAATATCAACCTTTTTTTATTTATTTATTTCCATATTAAAAAATGAAAAGAAATTATGGCTGGTGGATGATAGCTCAGTCAAAAAATATATATAAACCTGGTTATCAAGGTTTTTTTTTAAATTTTTTATTATTTGGAATTCTAGTTTTATGAAAGTTTTGAAGAATAAAAATATATATTAAAGCTGTAGACAATGAAAGAAATAAAAAAGAAAAAGGCACGTAAATGCTTGGTTTGGTTGACAAAGCGAAGATGAAGAGATGAAAGAAGAATAAATGAATGATGACAAAAGAAAAAACACAGAGAGAGGTACAGAGAGAGGTACAGCTAAAAGCTATTATTATTTTGTTTTCTTCCTTTGGATTTTCGTTTTGTGTTAATGTTCCGTGGCTCGCTGGTACTCTGCTTGTACAATTGCACCGTACTTTTTACCTGCCCCTCACAACATTCCTTATTATCTTCTTTTTTTAAAAACAGTGGTTTGATTCTACTTTGTAAAAAAAGTAATTTCAACTACTACTTTCTTTTTTTCTCTTACATCTTTTCTAACACGTCGCAGCCTAGTTCAGTGCAATTATTTGACCCACCATTTATATATAATTCATCTGAGATTTTTCTTGATTTTTACTATTATTTACTCTCTTTTTTTTTTTCTTTTTTTAATACTCTTCTCAGTGGAGTATATTTTTTTTTATAAAATCAAGAACATATTAGTGCAGGGGGGGGGGGTGTTACATTGGATTTTTACAACTCTTGTATGTTAAGATATTGTGGCATTAAATAACGACTAGTATGATTTACCGAGTCTAAATTATTGTATAAAAATAAAAAATTTCATGTAAAAATCACAATGGAAAGAAAAAGGAAAAATAGTGCGTGTGGACTGTGAAAGTGTGATAAGCACATTCAATGGTTGATAAAAGCCCACAAAAGTGTGACACATCGAAAGAAACTTTTGAACACATTCAATGGACCTACTGACTGATAGATGATAGAACACAAAAGTTGCTTTTGCACACCCTCGTAATTCTTTTATTAATCAATGTATGTTTACAAAAGATATTGAAGCACATAATTTTTTTTCTGTTTAGGTGACGGAACAAAAAAACACACCACAACTTAATTCCAAACACACAAATGTAAGAAATACATTTTCTTGTTATATAATAAGGAGAAGCTATAAAACCCTCAAACACATAACAATGGTTGAAGCTTCACTTTGATGTCTGTCTATTCTACGCGTGACCCCATGAATGATGATACTATACAGAGTACAAGGCTTATACCCACAACACTGTGAAGCTAAATATTACATTTGCCAGATAATGTTTCTTCCTTATTGTACCAATCATCTTTCTAAACATACATACATCCTTCCAAAGCTGTTATATCCTGGACATATACATAAGGTGTACCACTATATTTCCGCGCCTGGTAACTTATCTCTGGTGAGGCGGAATAATAATGCCTTTTTTGAGTTCTGTAACCAAAGGTTGCAGAGCTCTGTTTCTTCTTCAGTTTATACAGTATCCTGTTTAAACGGTGATAAGCGAGACATCAACTGATGATGGAGATTTAAAAGCCTGGAAGAAGAGAATCGCTTTTAGCGGTAAAAACGGAGTAAACTAGATTGGAACCTTGCTCATCTGTTGTGTTATTGCCATCCGCCAATTGTTGTGTCCTGCAAATTTTCAAAGTTTTGTGGGTTAGAGAGTGCAGTGTTTTCGCTGTACGAATAGCTTTACTGCTACGAGGTGGACATTTGATTATTCAGTTTTGGTTCAGTTTTGGATGAAGACAACTAATGAAAGACCATCGTGTCAATAAATCTCCAGGGCTAAACAAACAGTAAAATAAAAACTGTTGAGTTCAAGAGAGGTACCATGGTGATGAGGAGTGACTGATGCCGAGTCCATTGCAAGTGAGTATCATTCCCTTAAACCTAGCGAGATATTCCTGTGTTAAATCAAAGAATGGAGACATATCAAAGCACTGATAAGGCGAAAACAGCTAAAGCTGAATTGGAAAGCTCAAGTGAAGTTTCAGACCCGCAATGTATACTTGTGAATCTCGTAAATACCGGTTAAATCGTACTCAAAACGTAAAGCAGGGTCCATTAGTACTGCAAGAACAAGAGAACAGAAAGCAAAATTACAAGACGAAATCAAGTTTTGGTTACTGTAATGGACACAAATCTAGTTCAATATCTGATCTCAAAGTGATGCAAAGAGTTTTACCATTATAAGCTTCATTAATCTCTTGAAATTTCGAAGTAGCCACAGTATCACAATTGTGCTTATCAGGATGCCACTTCTGCATATGGTTAAGAATCTCAGTAAACATTCCACTAATCCAATTCCAAACCTAAAGCAAATTTGACAAAAATCAGAGCTGTTTTACTAACCAATGCAAGCTTCCGATAATTCAGCTTGATCATCTCCTCAGTAGCATCATAATCAACTTCAAGGATCTTATAGTAATCCTTCAAATAAAGAGTAAATGAAATTCATATTAATACTCAAAAGAAAGAAAGAACCAGACATAATCAAAACCTTCAAAAGATTTAAAAAAAAAAACTCAAACTTGCCAAAAATTTGTCCAATCTTTCCTCAGAAAACAAAAAAAAATCTAAACTTTTGCATCACAACAAGATCGAATCAAACCAAGCAATCATCAGTGAATTGAAACATCAAATAGCGAATCAAACCCAGTAATCATCAGTGGTTTGTTATTTCAATTTACCTTGGGAGGATTGTTATCTTCCATCTGATGCAGAGAAGAACAGAGGAAGAATCTCTTCACACATCATCTAAGTTCAACTGAAGAATAAAAACCCTAAAAATAAGGAAGAAAAGGGACTGCAGATTTTTCTTTTTTTCCCTCTTCAAAATAAAATCAAACTAATGGTAGAGGAATTACTAGAAAAAAAGCTGTCTTTTCCCATGAATTAAATGGGGGAATTTGGACAGGCAAAAATATCAATCGAATCTGTGGTTTTGCTTTGATTTGATTTTTTGATTTTTCAGTTTATTCTTGTTATTAGGGGAACAAGTTTAGGCTGAGAAGAAGAGACTTGGCTCTTACTTTTGCGGTAACGTTGTCGTTGAAGATGAGAGAGATATAAAGATCGATATACCAGCATGAAGAGCCAACCGGTTCACTATTACGTTTGACCAAACCGGTTTGCTGCTTATTTCAGCAAATTTATTTGTATTCGGTCAACAAGAAACTGATGTTTGATTAAATACGTTGTTTTGGTGTCTATTAACTCAATGGCAATTTATCAGAAGAAGAAAGTAAACAACACTAAAAGTCTAAAACACTAATTAAAAAAACGAGCCCCCTAGAATGGTTCAACACAAAAACCAATAGAACCAATCAAAATCAATGAAAGACAGTTTTCAATTGGGTAAAACAGAGCTTCAATCAAGCAGTAGCTTCTGCTTCTGCGTCGGTTTCAACGGTGACAGACTGCGAAGAAGAACTGTTCTTGCTGCCACCGCTCCTTAGGCGCGACGATACATTGTCAATGGCTGAATTCAGTTGGCCGATTTTCTCATTCAATATCTCTCTTCTCTCCTGTTATAAACGTCAAACAAAATATGCCCACGTTTGTGCCTTAGTTTAGCATTTGGGATCTGCTTACAATCAGTACCGAGTTTTTCTTTTTACCTCTAGGCCTTCATCGTAGTACATCGGCTGCTGTGGTTTCTTGAAACCATGTTCATTTTCGTTCAGCACCGATCTCCGGATCTGAATAAAAAAAAACATAACAGCATAAATGGAAGTAAGAGTTAATATTCTTGATTGCATCTGGAAGAACCAATCTCAGATTCATTGAATCATTTCAAGAACAAAGCTCAGAACACTTAATCATTCGGAAGAACAAAGCCTAGACAGCAAAAGGAAGTAACACCAAGTAAGTTACCTAAAGCCAACATATTCTATGTCAGAAACCGGAACTACAAGACTAATCTATTGTTAATATTTTTGACGTCAGGAAGAACAAAGCTCAAAATCAGCAAAACTCTAAAGCCAAAAATCTTAGTATAGTTTCCTGTTAAAGAAACACTGAAATTTACCTGGGGAGCAAAGATATAAGCCAGAGTACCAAACACAGCACTTCCTAGAAGAAACCCCGTAACAAAATCACTACTTCCACCGCCCTTACTTCCGTCACTGCAATAAACCCCGGTAGACTCTCAAATGTGACAAATCAATCGTAACCTATCAATGTCAATTAGAGGTTTAATGGTTTATTTATAGAGAAATATACCGGTAACCTGCAGAAATCGAGAGTTTGCGACTGCGGTTCGATTGTGTTTTAACGGTCAATGTAGAGCTCTTGCGAATCGCATTGAAGTTCGTAGAGGACAAACGGTGTGCTTTGACAAGAGAGTCACCTGTGCCATAAAAATCGAAGAACACGGATCAAAGAGCTGCTTTGGTGCAGTTTGAGTAAACTCTTACAAAACCATACATGCAAATGAGAGAATAGTGGTGACTATACATCTCACCTTTTTTTTTTTTAAGTAATCTAAAGATATGGACTATGGAGTAACCATCACATAGACAGATTCAAATCATATGGTAGTCCTTTACTTAAAATTTGTATCAGTGGATTTTTGCATCTGCTTCATGTAGATTTGCTAAATATTGAACGAAGTATCAGATTATTAACAAACAACACAGCATGATCTCGCTAAATGCAAATACCTAACGGAAATTTTGAAATTCGATTGCGAGAAACTGGTCCTAAATCCCAAATTTCTCAATTAATTTGAAGCCATCACAGATAAATATAGAAACAACGAGCAACTGAGTGAATAAGCAAGTGCAAATCGGCGAACCTTTCTCCGATTACTCAGAAAGTGAGTTCTAAAAATAAATAAATAAAGTAGATGAAGTATCATCTAAATAGAGGAAACAGATGAACTGGTTACCTGAGAAAGAGGTGGGAGCTGCTACGAAGGACGCCATTGTACATGAAAATGAAGAAGAGATCTGAGAGGAACTGAGAAGAAGAAGAAGACGCACGAAATATATTACGCCATTTGTTTGTCCTACGACAAGAGTTATCTATTTTCTAAAATATCCCTTGAACTTACTTATTTCCCCAAAAATGCCCCTTAAGAGTTACATATTTTCTATAAGTCATCAAGTTTTTTCCTGACACTTGATTTAGCACCTCAGTATTTGTGATTGCCCATATATGCCACAACGAGAGAAATTAGAAATAGTCAAACACACTTTAGGTTAAGTAGATTGGTCAAGTCAACCAAAGCCAATATCTTGTCATCATCTGTTTCTTGCCCATCACCTTATGGCTTATATATGTACAAAGCTGTGAGTCGGGTCTTCTTCATAAAATCAAAAGACCAAAATAGACACTTTTCGTGGTTAGTTTCTAAGATAAGTTTCCTTATGAGGATTTGTCAGGTAAGTCTCTGAAGAGTATTCACATTCTGCTTCTTCTTGTGTTCCCATCTAGACACTGATCTCTCCTGCTGCTGCTGCTGTAGCTGTTGTTGTTGCTTTCGTTCCTTTTCTATGGATGAGAAGGGCAAGGAGAGTGAGAGAGAAGCTGCATCATCTTCTCGATTCACCATCTTATCTTGTGGCTTTTGACTACTGCTACTTCTACGTTCTTCAATGGACGTTGTTCCAGCCATGAAAGGCAGTACCACTCGTGTCACCGGGGTCATGTTTGGTGTAGTTTTCTCCACTCCTCTCCGTTTGTTGTTGTCATTGCCAAGTGCTCTGGGATTATTGTCTATCACTTCATCATCATCTTCTTTTCCATCATTCAAATCTAAAGGGAACTCAATCCTTTCCGTTGCATCAGGATTCTTTTTGATGATCTTTTTCTTCTCCTCACAGGGACCAGCACAAGACTTCCTTGAAGCTGATTCATTGCCAAATGTATCCCTCCTGAAAAAGCTACATCCAGTTTCTACTCCTGTAACTGTCTTCAGCTTTTTATTCGATGGACCATCACACAACCTTCCTTTATTTAGATCATCCAAGTCCACTGTCAGTGCCAAAATCCAAATAATTCGTCAACACCGATAAGAATTTTTTCCTGTCAGGTTTTCCTGGCCGGGAAACTAAACATCAGAGCTCGTTACAGCCGAGAGCAAATCCACTTTGATTACCTGGCGTCTTCTCATCCTCCAAGTTTGGGCTGAGACCTATCTCTCCTTCCTCGGTTTCTTCATCCGCTCCACAATCTCTATATGGAACAGATAATTCCTTCTGCTTTTCAATGGCATTGCACACTTTACCCTCTTTAGCATTCTCCTCCTGAACAAATCCATGAATCCATCACTGTGTGCATGATGTTAAGATAGACCTAGCAATTGCCTAGAAGACTCTAAACTAAAATACAACTGAGAGTAAGATTTATATAACTAGAGCAAAAAATAGAACGTCCAATGTACAGAGAAGAAATGTATAACTAGCTGAAGACTAGAACAACCCACATCCATGCACAATTGCATTCTGCTGGATGTGCAATCAGTCAAAGACTCTCTGTCGCTTGGATTCTCATGGTGAAAAGTCTCACGAGAAGAAAAAGCTTTCCCCATATTTGGCAAAACACAAGACACCGGAAGGGGTGTGGTTTTGAGTGGATTAGAGCAACTCTTTTTTTTTCCTCGGAATACACCCCAAAGGAAATAAAACATGTTCCAGCCTGCACACGCAACAGATATAGGACTAAGCAATATACTTTGTACAGATTAAACCAGGCCTTATATTTAAACAGAACCTTAAACACATCAGCAAAACATTGGTCGAACTTATTAGACTGTGTTTCAGTATGACTGGAGAGCCATATCTGCTAATTTGTGAGCAAACATTGTAAAGACAGTGAGATTCCAAAAACTTCAAAACGAACTATAAATAAACCTATTCAGAACAGTGAAACTTGCAACAAAACATATGTTCACGAAGAGAAAGAGTTCTAGTTAACATTCTTACGTTGGCAATCCCAAGGAAGCTGGTTGGACGCAAAAATCATAAGCTCAACACCCTCGAGGTTACCCTTTAGGGCTAAATCTTTCTGGATCATGTTGTCTACCAAGGGCTTATAATTTTTCTCATAACTGTGTCACAAGCAAAAATTAATATTTTTCGTCAGTGGATTAAAAAATAAAACACTGAAGCAACCAAAAACAGAACAACCATGTGAAACAAAACACAAGTTTATAAATCTACCTCTCAATGTCCTTGGCAAAGAAGAAAAGAGCCACATGGTGTTCCGTAGCACCTATATCTTGAAATTGTGCAGGCCATGTACTAAGCCTGGGTACTTCATTCAAGCTGAGTTTTACAGGAAATTGGTTCACCACTTCAACAACCTTAGGTGATGCTAAGGTTGAAAGATATGCTTGCATTCCACTATGCATTACTGATAAATTTCTGCTTTTCTGCACCTCCAAGTCTCCTCTGGTCAAAAGAAGTAGAAGGTTTATCAGCAAGCAATTAAACCAGAAAAGAGATTTTCATAAAAAGGGAACCAAAAACGTACTGCCAAATGTACTCATGCTCTGGGATGGTTGAGGTTGTCGACGGAACAGCTGGGGTAGCCACAGGAAAATCTCTCATGACAGGTTTTATAGAAGGAACATGAACTTCGGGCACAGCAGATTGGGAAGCAGGCATTGCATCAGCACCAGCGAGTGACTGTGTTCCATCTACTGCAATTGTCTGCTTGTCTGTCCGTAAATTCGGATGCCCTCCTGGCAATCCTTTGAATCCCACAGGCCAATCTCTTATGACCGGCACCTTTGAGGACAAACTTCTTACAGCCTTATTACAAACAGAATCTACATTAGACACTGAAGGCAAATCTGATTGCTCCAACCCTCTGCTTTTGCTAAAGCTGGGTTTTTTACGCAGAGCAGCATCAACCGCTGCTCGCAACCTATTACCCTTATTAATGTCCTCCCTAATATTAAGCATTTGGTGATTACCAACAACATCTTTGCTTTTCTCTCCCGCCTCTCTGACTTCCCTAGAGCGGGGTAAACCATCTACATTCAGTTCATTTTTACATGTCACTTCGCCTGAACTGCACTTCTCATTCGTAGATGAATCTCCCACTGCATAGGTAAGAAAATAAATCACTTTGTGTCAATCATGATATCTTTAACGCGTATAACTGTTTACTAATGGAGTGGAAATTGTACCAGAAGCAACTATATCTTCTAGACGGTTTCGACTTAGATGTCTGGCTTGCTTTGTCAAGCTACCTTGTTGGCCATCAGACTGCAAATCCTTCAAATCACGGGGACTTTTAGCATATGAACTGGACCAACTGCCACGTGAAATTAGTTTCTGATCGATTGTGGATGCTGAAGGGTTAGCTTCTGTGTTCCGATCTTTCAGTTGCTTTGTACTGTTAACTTTTGAGTCAATACAACTAGAGCTCCCTAAATCTACACATCTACTTGACATTGATTTGCCTACATTCCTAGAAAATCCTTCTTTTATATCACGGGAAGAATTGTCTTTCCCAGTCTTCTGTCGGGGAACATCATCCACTGGTCTCACTTTTGGTCTAGAGCTTGAAGAATTAAACGAATTGGACTTGAAAATTGAACCTATACAAATAGAAAAAGAGGTAATATTATACAACCTTCAATACCACCAGAAGTACAGCAAACTAGACAAGGAAGAACACGCTTGAGAAAAATCGTATTATATATCCTACCTTTAGGGGACTGTAGCTGCGAGTCAGGAGATCGTGTGCTTTCTGAGTCATCACTGGAGTGGCTGTTGAAAGATGAGTGATGAGCTAGCTTTCTCGTTGGTTTCTCTAAGCCCTTAAATGATGTTTCCCGGGATAATGCGGACAATCTGGGGAGAACAGCTCTCTTGGGTGACCCTGTTGGAGCCTCAACAGCCAATCTTTTAGAATCTAGAGCTGCCTCAAATCTGTCTATGTGCCTTTTGCTGGAGTTCTGTGTATTCATATTTACTGCACTCTCTCTTTTTCCCTTGGTTTCTGCACGTTTCAACTCAGTTTCGTAAGACAAAAACAAGGAAAAAACAAGTTCCTAATGTCTTCCACTAATATCATGGATAGTAAATTTTTCAGCTTTACCTAGCTTCTTCTTTTCTGCTACCTCAGCAAACTTGCATTCTTCACAAAGCCAATCACCCTTAGGAACTTTTTTAAGCATTACTCGCATGCAATAGCTGAGCAAAAGAAAACAGAACTATACATTTAGCACAGAAATGGTGCTCAGTTATTAATGACAGGATAATCCAATTGACTTAGACTTCACTAATATTAAGGTCAAGTATAAATCCTGAAGGGCAATTGGCCATAAGTTCAGAAAGACGGGATACTACGAATTCGAAAAACTACTTGCTATTTTTTCTTTCCCATGTACAGAAGCAGGCTTACGTGTGTTCTGCACCATCACTGCATCTGCTGCAGATAGCAAGTAAATCCTCACGACCTGCATCTCCGCAAGTATCACATACTTTTACCTGCTCAACATAATAAAGAAGAATTTCACTTCAGATTTTTGTCACTAGAAGATAAAGTAAACAATGAAACAAATAGAAGCAGAGACGCAAAAAACAGCATTGCTAACATCAAGTTCCAGCATTTCCGAATCAGCACTCTCAGTCTCAGACATGGCTGATGTGTTTGACTCATCTGCCGTATTGGGGGGAACATTTTCTGCGGACTTCCCAACCATTGGTTTTGAATGCGTAGAACATTCAATAAAAGAATCTTTCTTGTCTTTGTTACTCTTTGCCCCTGAATTTTCCTTGACTTTTCCCTGCCCTAGAATATTTTTGGCCTTATGGTCATTACATGTATCTAACTTCATGGAATCTTGATCTTTGCGAGACCCATCTAAGAGTGGGGCATGGGATATATCCGAAGATCTAATAATTTTCTTACTCTCAGCATTCTCAGATGAAGTATCATGGTTGGAATAAACCAGATTGCTCGGTTCAGTTGCAGTGTTATGTGAACTGCCGAGAGCATTAAAGTGAGAAGAAGGCAAAAGATCATCCGCGTTGAAAGAACACTCGCTCGCCACTACACCATGGGAGTTTTCATCTGATGACTCGTCCAACTTTGAACCGGTAAAGCGAGCATTACGATGCATGCAAGAAGAACAAGGAGCAGAGCAGACATTACAAGTGCCAGACTGCCATTTAGGACGACCTCTGCGACCCATGGAGGAGCGATAAGCAAGTCTTGTATCAGCCTTCAAGGCATAACATAGAGCGAATGTTATTAGCAACAGATTGACATCAAACAAAAAATGAAGGACTGTGCAGAGTCTACAGAATATTCTTAGTTTCTTACCATAAACAACAAAGTTGATGAGCACCACTCGCAAATCGATTTCTAATCCAACTGTGAAGAAAAAAGAAGCATAAATTAAGAAGTGCAAATTTAACTAACCCAGATGATTCAATCAATTATGCTGTTTAACAACACTAGCGTCGACGAACATGCAAATTAAGCACAATTCCTAAAAATAATCAAAGCGGATTTAAGTCTTATAGTTCAAAAACTCAGAATTACAGTGTAGAGAGGTCTCAAAAATCATCATCGACATTAGCATTTCAGTATCAGTAAATCAAGAACAAAGTAAACCCTAACTTACCATTTCCTTGATTATCGCTATACAAATACAAACCCTAAGTAAGTTCCTCTGAAATCCAGATTCGAATTCCTAAATTTTCTCGCTTTCTCTCTCTCTCTGGCGTGGCCCTAAGTTGGATTCTCGAATCTTGCTTTTTCCAGATAATGAATGAAATGAGAGAGGAGCTGCTTTTAAATAGCCATCCCCCCCCCCCCCCCAAAGGATCTCTCTCTATATATATATATATATCTGTACCTACACGTAGATACGTACGGACATACACACATACGTGTATAACATTCCACACGCTAAATATTAGTATATATTATTAATTACTAATTTAAGTCTATTATTATCATAAACACGCAAGTTTTTTTAACAGATTACAATTACTAAATCGTGTCTACACAAGATTTTTTCAGCAGTGATAGGTAGTATCCATACCTTTGACCGCCATGAAAGCATTTCTCTAGTCTAGAATCAGAATACAAAAGTTCATTTTAATTAATCTCGTTATGAGAATAAGGATTAAACTTATTAACTGCTAATTCTGTAATTTCGTTTTGAAATTGCTAAAAAAACAAATATGGGACCAAACGAAGAAAGAAATTACGAAACTGCCAGTTCGAATCATCTTCCAAAAAAGTTTATAATATTTTCGGCCGTTTTGGCCCATTTATAATGTAGTTGGAAATTTACTTCATAAGAAATTTTGGTTCAGCCCATTTTTGGGCCTTTTACGAAATTTTGCTGTTCCGGATTTTTAATAGGTTTTTAAATTTTTAAAAGGAAAAAAAAACAAATATAATATGAGAAACACAAAATCAATGAAATGTCCCCACAAAGATCTTGCATAGCTGGAAAAAAAATCAAATTTTGATAAAATCATCATTTCATTTGTCTTAACTTCGCCGCATTATTCGCTTTCTATTTACTAACATTGTTTATGATCAACCCTTTAGAGCATGATTATTGGTAAGCTTTTAAGTTTTAATCTTAGTATTAGTTTATTAGTACAATTGAAAAAGTAAAACATAAGAGTTGTATTTTGGTTTTTAGTTTTGAGATTTATTATTGGTAGACTCTTAATTTAGAATTCTTAAAAAAAAAAAAATTATTTAAAAATTTGGTTTTAATGGTCTTTAGAAGGTTATACAGTAAAATCTCTATAAATTAATACTCGATAAATTAATAATCTCTATAAATTAATAAATTTATCTCCCAAGTTGGGACCAGTGTAATTTTAGACATATTTCGATAAAATAATAAGATAATAATTTTTTGAAAATCCTTTGTAAATATATGGTCCCATCAATATTATAAATTAATAATTAGGTAAAATTTTCAAAATATATGTATATATAGATACATTAGTTTTTGTTAGATTTTATTTCTAATATTTTACTATATGAAAAATAGTTAGCATTCTATTTTAATACATAATTATTATTATTTTATTTGTAATTGAATATATAAAATACTAATTATCATGATTAAATCTTATTTTTAAATATTTTTAAAAAATATTTTCCAAATTAGGAATATCTCTCTATAAATTAATAATTATTAATTTATCGATAAATTAATACCTCTATAAATTAATAGATTTTCATGGTCACAACATTATTAATTTATAGAGGTTTTACTGTACTTGTAGAATATGGAAGAAGGTGAATTGTATTTCTGAAACCAAATTTCATATAATTGTATTTGTAAAGTACAAATGCCCAGAACGTGTGATGGTTTTTGGTTTCGTTATTTCATATTTAAAACCACAAATACAAATTGCTGAAAAATACAAATGCCCAGAATGTGTGTTGATTTTTTCCCCTTTCTTTTTCTTCTTCTTCGGCCACTTACACACAAACACGTGTCCGTCTCTTAGGCTTAAGCTGACCTCTTAATTAAGATACGTCTTTTACCATTTTGCATCGTTAATCATTTAATTTTATTCCATAAAAGACCTAAGAAACATCTAAGGACCCACCGTTAATCATGGTCTTACTCCTGTTTATATACTTGCAACACTTCACAATTTGCATACAATTAGCTTAATTATACCTTTCCTAAACTCGCTTTTTATTTTTTCTTTCTCTAAGACCGATATATTTGGATTGAGTAAAATAGTGAATCAAACTACTATTCATTCATAAATTGAGCGTTTCGAAACTATACACCATATTGATTTTCCAAGGCATGATTTTTAGACTTTTGTTTCCATGCGTGTTACTGATAAGTAAATTACACTGTTTACTGATTTTGAGTCTTTGACATTTTTCCAAGGGACAAAAACGACAAGTACGGGAGTAATTAGAAACTATAATGACCTACTTCCCCATAATCGCGGCATGAACATTGGTAACACCAATTTTCTTGATTAGGAATTAAGAAAATTCTTCCCATTCATTATTTTTTCTCTATCTATAAATATCTTAAACCTATTCTATGGTTTCTTAAGAAATATTTCATTCGAGATCAATCATTATATGAAAATGGCGAATTGTATAAGAAGAAATGCTTTTTTCTTCTTGACTCTTCTCTTTCTACTCTCAGTCTTCAACCTCGTTCAGGTAAAACCACTTGTTTATATAATTATATTGATATAAGCTGTGTAATAAAAAAAAAAAGCTATGAAAATTTTGATGATTATTGGTTGAACTCCCTTGAACCTTACTAGCTAGTTTACTGATATTGAAATCTTTTTTTTTTTGGTTCAGGCTGCTCGTGGTGGTGGCAAACTCCGCCCGCAAGGTACTAAAACACAAAACTTGTGTAGTCTTTTGTATCATACTTATTCCTTAGCCAACAAACAAAAAAAATCGAAGTAATTATGCTACCATGATTTTAAATGCTGAGACTAGATTATGAGGGTTTTTTTTGGGTGTGATTGTCATGTTTTTAACACGAATTATAAGCATGAACATAAAGATAAATCAATGGTTTTAAACTTTGTGATTGTGTTTTTGGATGGACACTTCAAACGTAGAATGCAACTCGAAGTGTAGCTACCGTTGTTCAGCAACATCGCACAAGAAGCCATGCATGTTCTTTTGCCTCAAGTGCTGCAAAAAATGTCTCTGTGTTCCTTCGGGCACCTACGGCAACAAACAAAGTTGTCCATGTTACAACAATTGGAAGACTAAAGAAGGCGGTCCTAAATGTCCTTGAAACTTCTTGTTAAATTGTATTTGATCATTTCTAGTTTTCTTTATCAGTCACTTACGTTGTTTAAATCAGTTTCTATAAGTTCGTAGGAACTCTATTTGTCTTATTACAGTTTTTTCTTGTTGATGTTGTTGTGGTAGAAGCGCAAGTCAGCCCATGGATGACCCAAAACATTAGCCAACTGATAGATGACCTCAGGTTACATTACACATTTATGAAATGGGCTTCATTATCATATGAGCTTAGAAACATATAGCCATAGTGAAACCCTATAGCAAGAGCAAGAGCCCATCAAGTTGTAATGTGTAGTAAAATTGTAAAATTGTTTATTAGCAAAACTAAGACTTGTTAGCATAATAACTATTCAAAAATAATGACATCCCAGACTCTCAGCCATAAACGATAATTTGTTTATGTCGTAGTCGAGAATGGTGTGATAATTTGACCAAATAATACCGGTTGTATGTGTGTGGAAGCCATGTCCTATGCTGTCTCTATCTTATGGTTTTCTTCCAAGATTTTAGAAACATCAGTTTATGGACTATGGAGTCTAAGATTTGCTTAAGACACCCTCAATAATAAGGGTAAATTTCTAAGATATATAGTAATTAACATCTTTTACATAGGGGGTTATATTTAAATTCCCTTTTTCTCTAGTTTCTGTTTATGTCAAAGAGTAGTATTTTTACCAATCAATACTGGATACGAGTTGGAGCAAGTGAAAGAAAAAAAGAAAGCTTTTGTCAGCTTGTGTCCATAAATCGCGGTCACATGAAGAGAGTGGAGAATGTTCACAATTAACTCGAAGTGATCCAGAGATCACATGAAGTGCTTCTTTAATTTTCCTCGTGGAGTACGGTTACTGGTTTGTTAGTGACTTATTAGTGGTTACCAACTTTCACATTATAAAACTTTTTTTTAACATTTTTATCAAAACGTGAAATACTTGTCTCTCTGTCTATCGTGTGAGCTTGATTCATTGACCACTTTTGTCGTTGACTTTGTTTTCGGCTCACTATGTTTTGGACGGCGATACAAATTCGTTGACTTTGTTTTCGGCTGAACCGTTGACTCATATAGATGTGAAACCAAGAAAACAAAAACCAATTTATCCACACTCAAATCAATTGTATATTTATTTTATACAAAAAATTAGCAGAAGCAACAATAGTTCTATAGACATTTTTGGAACTTTTGAATTTTAAGAAAAATAGAAAGATAAAAAAAAAAACTTAAAAGGTCTCATCTCAAACTGAGGCTCAAGAATTAACGAACAAACTAAAACAAGAAGAAAGACGACTGGACGGGGCAAGACACTATTCAAGAATTTGCAGTTTAACCCCAAACAATTTTCAAATCAATCAATTTAGTCCCCTCACCAAAAAATCAGTCTGATACCGGATTTGGGGAGCCGGATGAATGAGAAACCTCCTCAATGAGTCTAGTTACATCGGCCATCGAAGGACGGCTATCTGGATACTGAGCCGTACAGCTCATACCGATCTTCAACAAACGGATGATGTTCTCATTGCCCTCAGGTTGGTACCTTGTGAGCTCTGGATCAAGCACATCGGACGGTGATTGTTGCTCTGTAACAGATTGGACCCATCTCGGCAAATCGACGCCTTCTTCATTCAATTGCTGATGTGTTGGAGACTTACCTGCAATGTAATGTTCCATCTCAAAACCTTTGAACCGCAGCAATTTTCAAAGAAGAAATACAGTTAAAGATAAGTAGTCATGGTTAATTGTTTGTTACCTGTGAGTAATTCAAGGATTAGGACGCCAAAGCTATATACATCAGCCTTTTGGGAGATCTTGCGAGCATCTGTGACTTCAGGGGCACGGTAGCCATCAATACGGTTAGGTGCAGATGTAGAACTAATGATAGGCGCTAGACCGTAATCAGAGACCTTAGCTTCATAGGATTCAGACAAGAGTATGTTCGATGACTTAATGTTCCCATGAGAAGTTGTCGCATCACGCGAGTGTATGTAGCTAATCGCTTTTGCAGCTCCTAAGGCTACACTGACTCTGGTTTCCCAGTTCAAGGGAGTCCTCCCGCTTCCTTTGTTGCCTGCAAAACCATTAAAAAGTAGCCTAAATACCGAGCTCGAAGCATAATGACTTTACGAAGCCCATCAAGATCATAAATTAGCATCAAGAGACATAAACATCAACTAACTTAGAACCTTAAATCGTAAAATGCAGTAAAATTCTTTCGATCACAAACTAGCATATCAGCTAAACTAAGAATCCGAAAAAGCAACTAACTTCATAGATGGTGATTTCGATTTTTACCGTGCAATAGTGCAGACAAGCTTCCTCTAGACAGGAACTCAACGACAAGAAGCTTTTCGTCGCGGCTGAAATAGTAAGCAATCAGAGTCACGAGATTGGGATGACTCATTGATCCCAAAACCTGCAATCTCTCTCTAAACTCTTTCTCAGGCACCACAACGTCTCTTAAACGTTTCACAGCCACTACCAATCCATGATCAAAGCTTGCCTTATACGAAGACCCAACTGTTCCTTTCCCAAGGACCTCAGCTGAAGCCTTCAGCAATCCATCCAAATTGAATTCTCCAAAAGATTTCACGAAAAAGGTCAAATCTTTACTCACCACACCACTCTCCGACGGCGGGACACCAGCCACCGTTTCCTTGGGTATAGCAGCGGTGGAGGCCGGAGCAGCTACAGGAGCTTCGACATTTCTCGCTGGAGGATTCTCTTCCTTCTTCCTCTTTCTACAGAGACATAACAGAATCAGGAGAAGCAGCAACAAAACAAGAACACATCCGATTACGATTCCGGCAATAGCCCCGGCAGATAATTTGTTGCTATCTTTTTTTTTCCCCGGCGGCGTATTGGGTCCTTCAGCGCCACCACAAAGGTTTAAGGGCTTCCCACAGAGAGTGTTCCCTTCGAAAGCAGTTCGCGGCCAAGCGGACAACGAATTCGGAATCGGACCATCCAATTGATTGGAAGAAACATTGAATTGCTGAAGAGGAAGCGTGATCTCAGGGATTGGACCAGAGAGCTGATTCCTCTCTAAATACAGAGTAACCAACCGGGCCGCGGAGTTGACATTATCCGGGATCCGACCCGATAACTTGTTCTCCCCTAGATTAATTCTGATGACGTTTGGGAGCGTGAAGAGAAACGAGGGAATCTCACCGGAAAAGGCATTACCTTGGAGATACAAGTAACGGAGAAGAACAAGGTTTGAGAAATCCGGAGGGATTGGACCGGAGAGGGAATTGAATCGGAGAGAGAGGGTTTGGAGCTCCGTCAGATTACCAATTCCACCGATGGGTAAAGAGCCGAATAAACCAGCTCCGGGTAATCGGAGGGCCGTGACCCGACCGGCATCACAGTGGACTCCGTGCCAATTACAAGGAGAAGAAGCACTCATGTTCCATAACAGAGGACGGCCACGAACACTGTTGCGAAGAGCGACTAAAGCTCGCCGGTCAGACTCTAGATCTGAAGTCACCGCAGCGAGATAGAAGACAAAGAGGAAGACAACAGAGAGACTTAGCTGCTTAGGCTTGTACTTCATCTTCTTCTTCTTCTTCTTCTTCTTCGAAACTGCGATTCTTCGTTTCAAAAGTCAATAAATATAGCGACTTTTCGATATGGGGTTTATCGGAAAATCTGCTGTATTTATTTCGGCAACGCGTAAACGAGTGTTTGAACAGAGACTTGTTTTTTACATGAGTTTCAAGCTCAATCTCTGTCTCTCCCTCTCTCTAGCCGGCTAAGTAAGAGAGAGAAAACTTCATAATTACAGAGAAAGGGAAAAAGAAAAGTTACTGATTGGAATTTTTCCTTTTTGACAAAAATAAAATTAAAAGTAAAAGAGAATCTTATGTATTAAATGTGACAGCTCATTTACAGACTAACCAATAAGGTCATGAATACTACTAAACTAGGTGTAACAACAATATATCAGAGAGAATCAACCGGATCATATAACGTTACACGAATGTGTTTAATTACTGTTATTAATTTCATCAATGCAGTAAATAAGTAATGTTTTTGAAGACGATTAAACAACCACTGTTTTTCTTAATTATCGTTTTTGTTTCTTTATGTTTTAAATCAGGTTGAGTGTGACCAGAAACATGCCTGGGTCTGTGAATGTGTGTCTGAGCTACCGTTGACAAAAACAAACAAAGATATTATTAGTAGTCTCTCAGACGCCGTTTGTGATTTTGATTTAAGAAATGTGCAACAAAAATTCTGCAATTTCCCGTCTACTCTTCTTAAACAAATACTATATAATAATCGTACCAGCCGGAGAATACCATTGACATTTTATGTTTGCTGTATCAATGTGATTATGATATATTGAAATGGTCAGCTGAGCAACTTAGTTGTGTTATACTTATATATATATATATATATATATATATACATAAGTATAATATGCTTGAGATTGTGAACATTTCAATAGCTCTTTCTTTTGGTTTTTCCCAATCGATCTACTTTCATATTTGGTTACCTCATGTGCTTTATTTTTATTTTCAACAACATGCATATTAACAGATTTAAAAATATTTAACTATGACACACTTAGACACAGTAATGATAATGAATTATAGTAATCACTATTATGCTTGATACGTTTTTCAATTTTCAAAACTTGCTTTTTTTTACTTGTTCGTATCTCTCTATAGTGTACTCAATTTTATTTTAAATGAAAGTGGTTGCTTTCTCGTGACTTTTATTTGTATTTTGTAATATGGGTGAACACGTAAACCATAGCAGAGTCGTCTCTGTCTATTGGTCCTATCCGGCTGGTCAAAGCAAACATTCTTCCCAACCCCGAAACCTAACATCACCTAACTTTCAGGTTCAATACAACTACTGGATGATTTTATTACAAGTCTACGAATCACATATAATTTGCTTGTTTCTCTTCTCTCCAACACCTTTTTATAATTCACTCTTAACCTCATCGTTATGGACATGACCATGTTTATCCAAATAAGAAACGGCCATGGCTGCGTGAAGAGCAGCCCCAACCGGAAGAGCTTCTTCGTCAACAAAGAAGTAAGGCGAATGAAGCGGCTTACCAGCGCCTAGCGTCTCATTCTTTATCCCAAGCACGAATATCGCAGCCTTCGTCTTTTGTGTGAAGAAGCTGAAATCCTCTCCTCCCATTGTCACCGGGAAATCATGGAAGTTACTTTCTCCAATCATGGCTTCTGCTACTTTCTTACCATGCTCGTATAGGCCTTTGTCGTTCATCATTACCGGATGAAGCGACGGCTTTTTCTCTTCGAAATTCACTTCTGCTCTACATCGGTATACAGATGCTTGTGCCTCTGAAATCTGCTTCATCATAGAAACGTCTAAACAGGATTAGGGAGCAACTTTTAATGCGATTTACTATTACAAAAACTATCAGAATCAAACCTTTCACATCAAAGAAACCGAACCACAACAAGATTTCCAGCCAATTCAAATGAACAAAATCAAGTCGATTACAGAGGTTAACGGCAGAGACAATAAATATTGAAGAGCTGAAATAGCAATAACCGATTTATCCGAATAATAGAACAAGGCTGTAAAGTAAAATGAAGCAAATTGATCTCTGTACCTCTTTGATCCGTCTTTGAATAAATAGAAGTCCATCGTTGCTTAAGCTTCTGAAAGTGCCTCCAAATTTTGCACTCTGCGGTATTACGTTTTGAGCATGACCTCCTTCAATGTATCCAACCGTAACCACCTGGGAAACATTTCAACTCATTCAATCAAGATTCTCATTCAACAAACACAGTACTTAAAAAGTGGAAAACAACTTACACCAGCTTCAAGTGGATCCATTTCCCGTGAAACAATCTGTTGCAAGGCGACAACAGCGGAAGAAGCTGCTAGAACTGGGTCTTTAGAGAAGTGCGGTGTAGCTGCGTGACTACCTTGACCATGAACCGTGACTGTAAACAATCCCGCACCTGCAAGAACGGTCCCAGGCCTAGAGCCAATGCCACCCGATGGGATCGATGGAAAGACATGAACACTGAGAATCCCATCTAAGTCGTCTAGAATCTCATCCTTTAGCATTTCATAAGCACCTGCATAACCTTCCTCTCCTGGTTGAAACACAAGTTTCACAGTCCCCTTTTGCAAAAAAAAAATCAACAATAAGATACTGTGTTTATTTCAAAACCCCGCAAAGCTTCTCCAAATGATAATAGAAATTTCACATATTGATTGCAGGGCACACACACCATAACCAATCAAACATGTTACTATTATGTGTATGTACACACTAGTGTTTCATTTAAAAGCCCAACAATTCACCAAAATTAGAATCTGATCCAACAAAAGACATTACTTTTGTTTCATTCCAAAATCCAAACACACCATAATATTGTTTCATTCACAACTAAGTCATTTTCCACCAAATTTATCGACCATATCACTATTTTTTCACAAAAAAAAACCCCAAAAATCAACAAATCAGAATCTGGTTCATTTAGAAAGTTGACATTTTCATTGCAGGGCATACAAGAAATCCGTCATAGGCATACAGTAAACACACAAAAATATGTAGATCCGAATCTGAGAAAACACCAATCTACATTGTACACACTAAGTCACTAAGTCTAAATCAATCAAGCACATGTTATGTTGTGTATATAATATATGGTGAGAGAGAGACCTTGATGAGGTGTTTTCTGGTTTGAAGAAGCTTAGCAGCTCCAAGAAGCATAGCAACATGAGTATCATGACCACAAGCATGCATCTTTCCATCTACTTTACTCTTCGATTCCCATTCCACTAATTCCTTTTTTTCCCAATCAAAGTTCCCAGTTTTTCAAATTCATTAGTCAAAGTACTTCTAAAATATCGAGTAAAAATCGGATTTTTATATTTTCAAAACCTGTAACGGAAGTGCGTCCATGTCGGCTCTAAGTCCAAAAACGGGTTTGGAACCGGATCCGATCCAAGCCACGACGCCAGTCTTCGCGACAGGCCACTTATACATCACTCCGAGTGAGTCAAGCTCGTCTCGAACGAGTTGACTCGTGTTGAACTCCTGAAACCCAGTCTCTGGGTGCTCGTGAATCCTCCTCCTTATCCCTCTCATCCATTCGAAGAACTCAGGGTCCTTGGCTGATTCGAGCATCCCACGAGCGAGTGACTCAAGACCCGACCCGTAATCATAGCTCTGAGCTGGAGACAGAAAAAGGAGAAAGAAGAACGTTGCAAAGTAGCCAAAGAAGAAGTTCCCTGAGATTGTCATTCTGATTTCTTTGAAGACGATGATGATGAACGACGGAGATGTATTTGTTCAATTTTTTAAAAATATATATATATAGACGTAATTATACACGTGTTAGAAACTGTTTAATCGTTTTTAATTAACTTTAGGCCTCAGACCATTTGAAATGATAAATCTATATATTATTTTATTATAGCATTGTTGTTAAATTAATATAAGATATTAACAAAAACTATACAACTTGAGTAATTTAAAAAAATTTGTGATACAATGTATTAACGGTATAAAAGGAATATTTAGTTAAAAAGGATTTGTTCTTTTGTCACACGATTTTACCATTTAAGTTAATGAAAATTAACATTTCTGGAATAAAAACATGGCACGTAAAGTTGTTGTGACATAATTTAGTTTTTTTTTTTTTTTGTTAAAGAAGATTTTTGATGGCAAATCCTTCTAAATATTTGATTATCTTCTTTTTCAAATAAAGTGAGAATAAAATGTGAAAAACAAAGTTATTTGACAAAAATCTTTGATATGTTAATAACATATTTGTTTAAGAGTCTCACATATAGAAAAAGAGATCACTGCCTTTAATTAAGCACAATTGTTTATCATACAGAGGCAGATGCAGCTTAATTAATTTCTACCAAAAAGATGCAGCTTAATTTACAGGTTCCGGGCCTTCCGGCCCATACCAATTCAGAATCAGTCCGATCATTGTCTCAAGTCCAGACCCAACTCATATCTCCCCGACCCATTAAAGAGATAGTTGGATTGGATGACTAAAAATTGTTGGTGATTTAAATTTGTAGTTCTTTTTTGGTTTGCTTTTGGGATCTCTGAAATCTAATTTTATAAAATTTGGATCGTGATGATTGGGTAATTTCCATAACCTTTTAAGATTGGATGCCTAGAATATTCGGTCCATGCCCAACCACAAAATAAAAATAAATAAAACTGTAATCTTCTGTTCTTTCTCTCAAGCTCAAGTCACAAACACCCCCACAAGTTAAACCATCACTCTTATTCGTCTTCTCTCTTCTTCCCTTTCATCGAAAATGGCGGACAATGGTAAAGACAACGTTCTGCCTTAGCTTCTCCTTCTTTATATCATTCTTCTGTTTTCTTATTTGCTTTTTGGTTTAATTTTTTGGACGTCATTGATTCTATGTAGATTCTCTAGATCAGTTCTTGGCTGCCGCCATTGATGCCGCTAAAAAAGCTGGACAGGTCTCTCTCTCTCTCTTACTCGATCTCCTTGGGTTTTGATCGATCTTCTGGCTAATCATTGATTTAACGGGTTTGGTTTCGTTCTGCAGATCATTCGTAAAGGGTTTTACGAGACCAAACATGTTGAACACAAAGGCCAGGTTTTTTGTTTTTTTTCCTCCGCTTGTATACCTTCGTTGCAAAATTGCTTCTTTATTTTATCTCATACAGAGTGGGAATGGTTATTTTGAGTGTCAATTTTGTTTTGGAATCATCTTCATTGGTTCCTGAAAGTGTTGTTTTCATAGGTGGATTTGGTGACAGAGACTGATAAAGGATGTGAAGAACTCGTATTTAATCATCTCAAGCACCTTTTTCCCAGCCACAAGGTTATTATTTCTTCTGTTGAATTCCCCTTTTGTTGGATCTTTGTTAGCTCCTCCTTCCTTGCATTGATCATTAGAGTTTTGCTATGGATTAGTTCATTGGAGAAGAAACTACTGCTGCATTCGGTGTGACAGAGCTAACTGATGAACCAACTTGGATCGTTGATCCTCTTGATGGAACAACTAATTTCGTTCACGGGTATGTATATATTGCCTAATTTCCATTTGAATTATTGTGCACTTCGTTTCTCACATTTGATTGAAACAATACCAAATGCTGAATTTTCTCAGGTTTCCCTTTGTGTGTGTTTCTATTGGACTTACTATTGGAAAAATCCCTGTGGTTGGCGTCGTGTATAATCCCGTTATGGAGGAGGTAATAGACTGTCTCTAGACCCTTATAATAGTTCAAGTTCTTCCATCCATACCAGTTACCATCATAGATAGTTTCCTTGATGATGTTCTGGGCATGAATGTGTTGTCACGTTTTTAAATGATATCCAATGATAAAACAGCTATATACCGGTGTCCAAGGGAAAGGAGCATTCTTGAATGGAAAGCCAATTAAAGGTTCGCATTTTTGTTCTAGAGACTTGAAGATTTTGTTGATCTCTTTCTATGGCATGTAGAAGATAGCTTACCCTTGTTTAGAGACTGGAGTTCTTCCATTTTTTTCAACTCAAACCGTGTTCTTATTGCAGTGTCAACTCAGAGCGAACTTGTAACCGCTTTGCTCGTAACAGAGGTAAAAAGCTTGACTCCTTTATGTTACGCTACTAAATTAGATTGCTTTAGAGCCTCATCCTCATCGTTTATATGGCCAACTGCATACAGGCTGGTACTAAACGTGATAAAGCTACATTAGACGATACAACCAACAGAATCAACAGTTTGTTAACCAAGGTGACAGTTTATTGAGAGAATTAGGAAGTCCACCACTTGGCTCTGACCTCTTCGAAAACTCATAATTGTGTCTTCTTTCATTCATTCACCAGGTTAGGTCCCTTAGGATGAGTGGCTCGTGTGCACTGGACCTCTGTGGTGTCGCGTGTGGAAGGGTTGATATCTTCTATGAACTCGGTTTTGGTGGTCCATGGTAAATTGTCTTCTTTTTTTTTCCGCCTGGCTTTGGTTGGGAAAAGTTTCTTTCTTGCATGAACAAGATTTGATGTTGATGGCGTTATTTCAATTTTCACAGGGACATTGCAGCCGGAATTGTGATCGTTAAAGAAGCTGGCGGACTCATTTTTGATCCGTAAGAGTTGAGACAAAACCAAACGACGCACTCAACCTTCCAACTGTTTTTAACTGTCTTTTTCTTTTGTTTGTGTTCATCAGATCGGGTAAAGATTTGGACATCACATCGCAGAGAATTGCAGCTTCAAACGCCTCGCTGAAGGAGTTATTCGTGGAGGCCTTGCAGCTTACAAAGGCATGAAGAAGTTATTCATTATTGTTACAAAAAATGGTCTCAACCTTATGATGATGAACTTGATTCAAAAACTTCACTATTTGTTAGTTTGGTTACAAATGAAACTATTTTCTTTTCAGTAGAGAAACAAAACAAACTTAATTGTTGGACAAAAAATAATAATAATAAACAATTTCTTGTAAGCTCAATTCAAAAACTTCAGACGATTGGGATTACATGTATAATTCGGATTTTCATGCTCTTGATACAATAATCCATATTTAATTACCGAGGTGATATTGAGAGGCCCAGTATTTGTTAGCGGGCCAGAATCAGCCCGGAAGTCGCAAGATTAATCCCGAATAGGAACGACCCGACCCGCAAAAGAGAAGAAGAGATTGCGGAGAGCCGGAGAAGAAGAACGGAGAGAGAAAATTTGATTCTGACGGTCTTAGGTTCTGGTGAAATCCAACTTGTAAGGATTAAGTGTAGACGAATTTGACAGATCTTCTCGTATTCATTTACCTGGGCTTGTGGTTACTTCGAAGTAGAGTGATGGATGCTCAAGCGAAGAAGAAGGCGATGTTTCGCTCTAAACTCAACGCCAAGAAGAAAGATACACGCATAGATTCTCCTCTCGTTAGGTAAACGATTCTATCATCTTTCTCTAATTGAAAATTTGTGGGTTCTGGGATTGGGATTGAGCTATAGTTTGTGGAGGTGATTACAGTTTGGGATGAAAATTGTCATCTTTGGATTTGTTTTGTAGGTACAATGAATCAGACCAGCCTGTGTGTCGAGTCTGCAATATCGTGTTGAAGTCTGAATCACTCTGGGATGTTCACCAAGCTTCTCGTAAGCATCACGAGGTAAATTCCAATCCTCATAGTGTCTTCTGCTCTATAAACTTCACCTTCTCTTCTAACATGAGGGAGTCAGTTAACAATGGGAAATTTCATGATTTACATACATACATTGATGATAGGTGTTAGGAGTTGAATTCATACTTCTATATTGGATTATGGATTACTACTGGCTTTTGTATGTTCGTTAATCTTTATAACTTAGGTTTGGTTAATGAATGTTGGGGCAGGCAATAGATAATTTAAAGGCAAGTGCAGCGGGAATTCAACGGGGTAGCAAACCTACTGAAACTCAGCCAGCAAAATTTGAAACTTTGGCTAAATCATCCAAACCTCAGACATCATCTGGTCTTCCGCCAAATTTCTTCGAAAATCGTGAGTCTGCTAGAGGTAATGGTGGCTTATGCACTTTCCTACTTCTTGTTCATATTTGTTTTCTCAACCAAGAAAATTTCTTAGTAGAAGAGTTTTGGTGTATCTGTTGATGACATGCTACAAGGTTGTAGTCTTGTGATTTTTAAATATTGAGAGTTGTTTGATTTGTCAATTGAGTTTCTGTTATTGTATATAATCATGGCATACACTCACTGGTCAATATATATGTTCAGAATCTGCAGAAGTAGAATCGGCAAAACCCAAGAATAAACAGCAACCAAAGCAGTCTACAAGTTCAGAAACAAACAAGACAAAGGGACCTCTTCCAGCTGGATTCTTTGATAATCAGAAAACCGAATCTTCAAATACCAAAACCACCAGTGAACCTAAACAGAGTCAGACACAAACTACAGGTGGTTCAGAAACGAAACAATCGGTGAAAGGTGCCCTTCCATCTGGTTTTTTTGATAATAAAGAAGCTGACCTGCTTGCCCGTGGAATAAAGATCGTCAAACCAGATATCAAGTGAGTGTTCTTGTCTTTGCTTTTTATTTTTCCGTATGCAGATTATCAAACTGGAAGCATACTGTTGTGGTTCTGTAAAACTTCATGATCGTATGGGATTGTAAAAGACTTTGTACCGAATAACTCTCTTTTGTTAACTGATATAAACATGGATCTATTTTTCAGGGATGAATATAAAGAATTTGAGAAGTTGATACAAGAAGATCTTCAAGTAGTGGATAGCCGCATGGAAGAAGAAGAGGTAAGATAACTTTCTGTAACTATAAACAATTGCTGCCAACATCATAACTTTCTGTAAGATAACTTTGCTTTTGTTTTTTTAACTTGACAACCGCTCTTTCCCGCACTTCAATTCTCAGGTTGATGCGGCGGAAACTATAGAAGAGGAGGAACAACGAGAGCAAAGGTAAATTGGATGCATTAGTTTACATGGTTATATAGCTAGAAGATGAAAGTGTTGAGGTACTTGTTTGATATTAACTACTAAGTAAACACTTGGCTTCTCCTTCTAATCCTCTTCTGCTAGATCGTACAAAGAGAAAGTGGAGATTCTGAAGAGGAGGAAAATGGAACTTAAAGCGGCTAGATTAGCAAAGCGCAGTAAAACCTCTGAGGGGTCTGTTAAAAAGCCGAAAAAGACCGAGGAAGAATCCCACAGCGATGAGGAGGATGACGAGGAATCCGCTGTTGATTGGAGAGCTCAACATCTTTGAAAAAAAGAGTGTTCCTAAATCCTTGTCCTGGTAAAACATCATCTGTCAGAATCCTAAGAGAAAACTATCAAATTCCTGATACAGAATTCTGAAAGCTGCAGTTTCAAAGTATCAATTGGTATTTGAGTATAGGTATCGGGTTTATGGGTATAATAGAGAAGAAGGTAGTTTTCATAACCGGAGTTGCCAAAAAGGGCCTAATTATTGGTGTAAGAGGTAAAAACCTGAAACTGTGACAAGTTCCTAGCAATGTCAGGTGGGTAAAACACTTCACTTTGATGACAAATTTTTCCAATTATGATTAATGAGTGATGGTCGATTCATTCTAGTTTTGTTAATCCGAAAGTGGGGAAATTAAGAATTATCTTTAAAACTCTTTGTGGAGTATTAAACAAATACACGTGTAATATTTAATTTAAACAATTTTTGCGGACACCAATTAGGGGTCAAATATGTCTATAAACTTATTAAGGGTCAAGTGTTCGTTCAACAATGAAGACCACTCACTAATAAACATATTATTCATACTTTAGTCAAATTTGGACTGTTTGTGAGTGCCAACCCCAACCATGTATATATAACTTAAAAAGTGCATTCAGTTTTCCATTACAATCCATTGGCATGAAATATATAAATGGAAGTATATATAAAACAAAAAAAAAACTGAGTCCACCTCGAAACAAAAGAGAAACACAACAGGCAAAGCAAAGGTCGGTTGATGCACAATTGATATAAACTATTTTTTCCCATTAGAAGATAAATTAATTAACTAAATTACCTCTGACCTAATTGAAAGCACTCAATCTTGTAATTAAAATACCTTAACATTATCTAGTCTCCACGAATCATATGGTTTAGATTGTCAAGTGAATTTTATAATGGTAAAGTGTTAGCACGACGGGAATCATCATCCAAAATTTTGGACATTTCAGTTTAGTCTATCCACATAAACACACACACACGCTGACGCTGACACAGTGACACACATCGACCTACATTACCAAACAATAACAAATCGATTCTTTCCTGAAGTATCATTCTCTGAGCACTAGTGCATGCATGCATGTATAAACGTGATAAAATATGCTCACCGTTTTGCACTAAATACGAAGAAATTAAATGACTCTTCAACTGTAATCTGGAGAAGAACATATCACCAAACTTTATATCACATGTAGTTAGCTTAATTATTCTTGTGGTCACAAAAGACTCTTATCACTTTTGTTATCATGTGGTGCTCTTCATAGGTCATAAACACATATCATTGCTTCACCTTATTTTTTAAATGCATATGTTATATAAAAAATTCACTACACTAAAATGACGATTTGAACTTTAATTAAAAAAACAAACAAACAAAAACAACGTCAGCACTAACCCAAAAAAACAAAAACCGAGAAATTTTTCTATAAATTTATCGCCACTTCGATGTTATTGTTCATTGAAATAACTTGAGCTGATATATTTCAAAATTTGAATACTCAGGCGCCAATTTTAGGCATAACCGAAAAATCACAAAAAAAGGAAAATAAGATTGAGAGAGAAAGAAGGCAGAAACAAAACAAAAGAGAGAGAGAGAGAGAAGAAAAATAATTATTGTCTTCTTCAAATCTCCGATTACCTGATTTCACGATACGGAGGTGTAATGGGAGGAAGTAGCGGAGGCGGCGGTGCTTCTTACCGGAGCGGTGGCGATTCTGACGTGGAATTGGAGGATTACGAGGTGGATGATTTCAGAGATGGGATCGTAGAGACGCGAGGAAACAGATTCAATCCCCTCACAAATTTCTTAGGGTTAGACTTCGCCGGAGGTAGCGGCGGAGGTAAGTTCACCGTCATTAATGGAATCAGAGATATCTCCCGAGGCTCCATTGTCCATCCCGATAACCGGTACAACTCGTCATCTTTTCTTAATTTTTGTTTTTAGTCCTTCTTTTTTCTATTGTTTCAGAATTAGCTCCTACACTTTATTTTATTATTTTGTTCTAGTTTACTTACTCTGCAATATCGTTATTTCATACTTAAACGGTTACAAAAAACTATCTTACAGACATTAGTCTGTAGAATTTTAAGTTACAACTTGAATCAAATAAATAAACTTAGAAGGCAATATTAGGGCAATATTCAGCTTAACAAATTTTGGGGTCAATTGTAGTTAAAACAAAAGCTTAGGGGCTTAGTTGTGGTCTTTAACCTTCTTTTTATTGTCATTACATTTTCTTCGGTTATTCATTAATTCGTTTCCCCGCCAACTTTATGACACGTATCAGTTTCTCAATGGTCACAAATAATCGTTCGTTAAATAAAATAACGACCATGAGTTTAGTATTGGAGCAATACCAGTAGTAATGACTAATGAGTTTAGTTTAGCTACAAGAATGTAAAGATTGATCACAAGAATCTTCCATTACTTAGGTGGTACAAGGCGTGGACGATGTTTATAATGATATGGGCACTTTATTCTTCCTTCTTCACTCCATTGGAGTTTGGTTTCTTCAGAGGATTACCAGAGAATCTGTTCATCCTCGATATCGCTGGCCAAATCGCTTTCTTAGTGGATATTGTCTTGACATTCTTTGTCGCTTATCGAGATAGCCGAACTTACAGAATGGTCTACAGACGCAGCTCAATCGCTTTACGGTATTCAAAGCTCTCCTCTGTTTCTGTTTCTTTTTTTTTTTGGCTAATGTGTCGAGTAGTTTGATTTTGTTTTTAGCTTCAATTTGAACGAATGTATTCAAAAGAATGAAATTAACTTCTTCATGGTGTTTGCCATTTCTGCAGGTACTTAAAATCATCTTTTATTATTGACTTACTTGCTTGCATGCCATGGGATATCATCTATAAGGTACACTTTTTACTCTTTGGTTTTTGCTATAAAACCGCGAGAAACCAGAGGAGGAGTTTGAAATTTTGAATTTGATCTTGAATTCTTCTGAAAATAGGCTGCAGGCGAAAAAGAAGAAGTGAGATACCTATTGTTGATTAGGCTATATCGAGTTCATAGAGTGATCCTGTTTTTCCACAGAATGGAAAAAGATATAAGAATCAATTACCTTTTCACAAGAATCGTCAAGCTTATATTCGTCGAGCTCTATTGCACTCACACCGCGGCTTGTATCTTTTATTACTTGGCCACGACGCTGCCTGCTTCTCAAGAAGGGTACACTTGGATTGGAAGTTTGAAGTTAGGAGATTACAGTTACTCGCAGTTTAGAGAGATCGATCTTTGGACCAGATACACTACTTCTATGTACTTTGCAGTTGTTACTATGGCAACTGTTGGTAAGTTCTGATAACTGAAAAATTGGTGAATCTTTTTGGCTTTGATTCGGTTTTTTTTCTGTTTATATACTCATCCTTCACCTTGTTATATTTCTTTCCTGCAGGTTATGGTGATATACACGCAGTTAATATGCGGGAAATGATATTCGCAATGGTGTACATCTCATTCGACATGATTCTAGGAGCTTACTTGATCGGTAACATGACAGCTTTGATTGTAAAAGGTTCAAAAACAGAGAGATTCCGGGATAAAATGGCGGATATTATGAGGTATATGAACCGAAACAAACTAGGTAGAAACATCCGTGGTCAGATCACAGGGCATTTGCGGTTACAGTACGAAAGTAGCTACACAGAGGTAGCTGTTCTTCAAGACATCCCTGTGTCTATCCGCGCTAAGGTATGATGTATGCTTTAGAGAAGCTTGCTCAAATTTCAGATTCAGATGATGAGCAAATGCCAACTTACGTTTTTGCTACAGATTGCTCAAACTTTATACTTGCCGTATATTGATAAGGTTCCTCTCTTTCGTGGGTGCTCGTCTGAATTCATTAACCAGATTGTAAGCCTTTTGACTTGGACTGTGAATATGAAAATATCTTCAGGTCACTCAAGTTTTGGTTTTATTACAGGTTATAAGACTTCACGAAGAATTCTTTCTCCCTGGAGAAGTTATTATGGAGCAAGGAAGTGTTGTTGATCAACTCTACTTTGTTTGTCACGGTGTATTGGTAAATAACATTTCGCCTTTTTTTTGTCTATAATTGGCTGAGGCATGTTTGATATTCAAAGTTAGTATAATCAAGATGTTTTTACCAGGAGGAGATAGGTATAACTAAGGATGGATCTGAAGAAATAGTGGCACTTCTACAACCAGATCATTCTTTTGGGGAGATTTCAATCCTCTGCAATATTCCTCAGCCTTACACAGTTCGAGTTTCTGAGCTATGTCGGCTTCTAAGACTCGATAAGCAATCATTTACGAATATTCTTGAGATATATTTCCACGATGGAAGGAGGATTCTCAACAATCTGCTTGAAGGGAAAGAATCTAATGTCCGGATTAAGCAATTGGAATCTGATATAACCTTTCATATCAGTAAACAAGAGGCAGAGCTAGCTTTGAAGTTGAATAGTGCGGCTTTCTATGGTGATCTTTATCAGCTTAAGAGTTTGATTCGAGCTGGAGCTGATCCGAATAAGACAGACTATGACGGAAGATCACCTTTGGTATGGTCTTACAGCTGTTCAGTTTCTTTAATCGAAACTGGAACATGTCTAACAGGTTTTTGCTCTTGACAGCATCTTGCAGCCTCAAGAGGATATGAAGACATTACTCTATACCTTATTCAAGAATCCGTAGATGTAAATATCAAAGATAAGTTGGGGAACACGCCGTTACTAGAAGCAATCAAGAACGGGAACGATCGTGTTGCAGCGTTACTTGTAAAAGAAGGAGCGACGTTAAATATCGAAAACGCCGGGACTTTTCTTTGCACCGTAGTTGCGAAAGGAGACAGCGATTTCCTGAAACGGCTTCTCAGTAACGGAATTGATCCTAACTCCAAAGATTATGATCACAGAACACCTCTTCACGTAGCTGCCTCTGAAGGATTGTATGTCTTAGCAATTCAACTGGTGGAAGCAAGTGCTAATGTTCTTGCAAAAGACAGGTAAATGCTTTTTATTCTATACCAAATAAAGAGTACTTTTTTTTTTTGGCGGTTTCTGACTATTTTTGTATCTGAATTAGATGGGGAAACACTCCACTAGATGAAGCCTTAGGTTCTGGAAACAAAATGTTGATAAAGTTACTCGAAGACGCAAAGAGTTCTCAGATCTCTTCGTTTCTGAGTGGTTCCAAAGAGTTTAAAGGTAGTTTAATTGGCATATAGGACAAAGTATTGATGTTATATCAGATTTAAGACTAATGAGCGGTTTGCTTATAATCTGCAGATAAAGTGTATAAGAAGAAATGTACAGTGTATTCTTTACATCCTGATGATACAAAAGAGAAAAGAAGACGTGGGATTGTAATGTGGGTGCCTCGAAGCATCGAAGAGCTTGTAAGAACTGCAGCGGAGCAACTGAATGTCCCGGAAGCTTCTTGTATATTGTCTGAAGATGAAGGTAAAATTATTGATGTAGATTTGATAAGTGATGGACAAAAACTGTATTTGACTGTCGAAACTTAATGATTCTAAATAAAATAAATAATCAAAAACAGAGTATTAGAAACAGAGTAACTACAAAGAATAATAGTTATTGTTTGATTAAAAAGATTTCTTCACATTCTTCAAATGCATCGAAGAATCGACACAATTCGTCTTCTCGATCTCGTTTCTACAATGGTTTAGATTCCGCAAGAGCTCGCTCGCTCTCTCCTTCGTCTTCTCCTCGCAACCAACTTGTAATAGTACTAAAAGTTTCTCAAAGGCACCAACTTGAAAAGCTTCGACTAACAAACGATCTCCATTATTATTCTTCCATAGCTTCCAAAGAATCGAGACCGAACATTGTGTCGCGAGATCCGAAACTCTTAGAATCTTCTTCACTAGAAGAGGAACGATCAAAGCGTTTGTAAGAACATCTTCTTTGCATAGCTCGTTATCGCATATAGCGTTTAGAACAACTAGAGATCTCTCGCAAACGCTCTTTTCGGCATTGTTCACCATCATCTCTGTGATCAATTCAACCAATCCCAATTTCACGAATATCGCCGCGATCTTGTCGTTACACGATATCGTTCTGTAAATCACCATTAGAGATGCTTTCGTGGAGCTCGTCGAAACAGAGTCTTTGATGATCTTAACTAATCCATCGCAAGCGCCTTCGATACCTGTTAACGCATGCACATACTTCTTGTCTACTGCAATAACCTCTCTGATGCAGAACGCAGCGTTTTGTCTCGTCTTAGCGTCTGTAGTAGCGTTGTTCAAGAACCATACGAGACAGTTAAGCGAAGCCGTTGATCCCATCTTGGAGAAACCTTCTGACCGACTCAAAGGCAACCAGGAAGACAGAACAAACAAGATCTCCTCCAATAGACGCTCGTGTCTCTCACGCACCGCAGCGAACCTTTCGAAACAAGAAGACAATGCGACAACGCCGCCGTTTTGGACCAAACACTTCCTGTTCACGTCTCCTCCCAAGTTCTTGATTTTGGTAACAATCTCGTAACACTCGGCATATTCATCACGCGCCGCCGCGTTTTCTAACCTCTGACTTATCTCTACCGCATCGCGTGGTGACAACTGCACGCGCGGTGACTTGATCCGCTCCTTCCTCGATGATGATCGGAGTTGAACCGGAATCTTGGTTTCTACGACGGAGATATCGCCGGTAGTCAATTGATTACGTCTCTTTGCTACTCCTCCTCTTGATCTCCAAGGTAACACCATTATATCTTCTTTTTTTCTGTTTTTTCTGTTGTTCGGGGTACGTAACAAAAATCAAATATGTTTTTGTCGATGAAGACTGAAACGGGGTTTGTGGGATTTGTATAAATATATATGTTTCCTTTGACGTGTTTTTTATATATGCATGTACGTTGGTTTTGTACTTATATATAACAAAAATATAAAGAGAGCTGAGAGACACGGTCAAAGGTTGTATAAGCTTGAAAGAGAAGGAAAAGGTATGAAATGGAACTGAATTGATCTAGGTTTGTGAACTGAATTGGAATGTTGACCGTTGAAACCTGTGGATTATTATTCTTCAGGGTCCATATTTATGACTTGTATACTATTCGGCGTTTAATTAAATTCATCATTTTCATTAAAATATTGGTAAAAAAGTAAAGACAACTTAATAATTAGAACATACCAAGAACTATATAGTTTAGCATGACATAAAAATATAAAAAGATTACGCGTGTTATCCCGTATCAACTAGATCATAATAAATTTGCGGATACTTCTAGTTATTTAATTAAATAGCATAAATTTAAATCGAGGTGTTTTGCATAGTTTATAAATATAATCATGAATGATAAATAGATATTAGTTCGCGACCATGTCGTATCTTTTTATTTATTATACGATATATAATGAGTCCTATATAAATATGACCATGACGTATATATAAAAGTAGAGATTAACAAAGATGAGAAAATAAAGACTGGACTCGACTCGAGTACGCATGTGAGACTCGTTCCGAGGATGAAGAAAATTAGTCAATAGTTGAAAAACAGAAAAGAAACAATTAAGGACTGTTATATGGAGTACTTATTAATAATCAATAAAACGGGTAAGTAGGGAAGACTTTAGACCAGGCGTTGGGGGGGAGACTCGGGGGGCTGGTCGGCTTATACGTCGTCTGGTCCGTGTTCGTTTACTTTTCCCCCGCGTAATATTGTTTCTCCCATTAAAATTAATATTTTGTTACGCGTAGACTAATAGAAATAATTATATCACCCCGTGATTTGACAAGTTAGGAGGAGTATCTAGATAACCAAGTCCGGACCAGAACATTCGACCAAATAACCAATTGAAACTGCCAAATTCAGATTTTAAAATTTCGTCAATCTTTCATCATTGCAAATTCAGTCCGTGGTTTGTTCGACTGATCTCCGAGATCGAATGTAAAATTTTAAATGTGCATCATAATTCATCACATTTATTCATCTTAATCAGCAAAAACAAATATTACGAAGCCGGTTCGATTCTTATATTTTAACAAACCCTTTCACTTGTTACAACTATTGTACTGCTCTGTATCAATGGACACCGGTACCTCGGTTTGTCTTGTTTCTGGCTTCTCAAATCATGTAGTGATTAAAAAAAAACACTAACGTTTAAGGCATTCAAAATGATCCCAAACACATTAATCGAATGCAAAATAATGTGCCCCTCCACAAATCTACTCCATTGAAGAGAATGATTTCAATGAATAAAATTGTCATGGAGAGGCAAAATCAATGTCGTCATCTTCCGACACAAATTTGGTGATGAAATTATAACCTATTTGCTTTAAGGATGACTGCAAAAAAAAAAATGCCAATCTTCTCAGGCATAAGAAACCAGTAAATTCAAGATTCAACAACAAGAAATTAAAATCATGAACTCGAAAAATGGTAATAATATTGACCAGAGAGATTGATTGGAACATAGATATTAATGTGGATGTGTGACCTCTATAGACCTACTCCATGGAAGAGATGAGTTCCATGAAGATAATGCCATGGAGGTCTATTAACTAATCTTGTCATCTTCCGACACAAAATTGGTACAAAGTTAAACCTATCTTGCTTTGTTAGATGACCTGACACAGACACAAACCGCAGCCATATACGAAAAAAAAAACAACTATTCACTATACCTTCATAATCCTAAACTGAGATTGGAGATAAAGAAGAAAGGCAACGCAACTTTTATACTCTCACGAGATATGTCTAGGGCAACCGATCAGAGTTCTGCACGAAACGACATCGTTTTTCTTTTTTTCTTATCATTACTGGGTTTTTATTAGCTGTTTAAATATAGTATGGGCTTTATATGAAACCCAACTTATTCCTAAAGTAGGTCCTCCAGCTGTTAAAGTAAACCGGATCTAAACCGAGATTACAATGTTTCCTTATAATAACCGAAAGTCAAATATATTGAGGGAAATTACTTTCAATTTTATTCTCTCACCTGATTCGCCAAAAGAATATTACAACAATGGCGAGCAGCTCAAGATCAAGATCAACATCAGTTGTATAAATCACCTCTATACATTATTAATAGATGTTTGAGATTAAATGAAAATGAGAATTTACAGATTCCTCTTTTGAAAAATCATAGCTTTTTAAAAGCTCTCCATTCTTTTGTTTCTTCACTGCTGCTGTGTATCAATGGTACTGTCTTTACCTGAGGTTGTTGTTGCTGCTGCAGCTCCTTGTCTTGTTTCAGATACAGAGAGTCTTCTGGAATGCCCAGTTGATGTTTCCACTACCTCATCTGACTCTGACGCTGTGTTGTCGTATGTGAATACTCGCATTGGGTGATCAAATTTACAGCTTGGACCAAATTTGCAGATTCCATAGCGAGTGTAGAACACACACAATGGTTCTCCCTATCGACAAAACGATTTGCTTAATCAAACAAGGCCGAGTTCTAATCGACGAAAACCAAGCAACATGCGTTTTTTGAGTCTTTGAGCTTACCGGGCGTAAAGGGAGGCCAATGGAACTTAGGAGACAATCCGGAGGAGGAGCTTGTCTGTCTCTAGGATGGTGAAATTTGCAAACTGTGCCAAATTTGCAGTCGCCTGTCTTCATGTAGAATTGGCATTCGGGCTGTCCAGGTCTTTCCGGGAATACATTTTCCCTTGGCAATGCATAGAACCCTCCTAAAGGAACAGAGGATCCCGGGTTGAAACCGGAGAATGAGCCTTGAGACTGAGTACTTGATTCTTTGGTCTCGCTCTGTTGTAAGCTTCTGTAGTTAAGATCATTTCCGGTACCTGAAGGTGAAACTGAGCCGAGCTGACCCTATCGAAATGGAAAGGTACCCCGAGAATCATTCGATAAAAATCAAAACCAAGTAAAACAAATCAGATTATCTGAAGGAGGTTGAGCTATGCTGTTTTGACAACTTACGCTGTAAGGGTTCCATCCCTGAACCGGCACAACTCCTTGAGGCATGATTAAGGAAGCGTAGCTAGACGGATCTTGCCATCGAGGGCTGGCAATAAAGGAAGCTCTTGACCAAGGATAAGACTGTTGGCCTGAGGTAGGAACCATCATGTTTGTCGGTTGAGGCTGAGGGTGGTTGAATTTACAAGTGCCACCAAATTTACAGTGTCCGGTTCTTAGGAAATAAGCACAATCGACCTCATTCTGCATTCATATAATTACAGAGGATCGATGAAACAATGAGGTGAGTAATAAAATGAGAAAGTCAAAAGTCAACATACCGAGCGTAGAGGATAGCCCAACATATTGAGAGAGACTCTTCCAGCAATCCCAGCTTTGTTCCTAGGATGATGAAACTTACATGTTACTCCAAACTTGCAGGTTCCTGTCTTCAAATAGTACTGCTCAAACATACAACATATAAATGTTATGTAAGATGATGATTCGGTTACCAAAGCTTGAGAAAATGCTTTTGTACAACGGACAAACCAAAAACTTCTTATAAACAACAAAAACTGGATCACCTCGCATTCAGGCTGACCAATCCTTTCAGGATACTCTCCTCTCATTCTTGCAGTGGCTATAACCTAGGAATTGGACAATGAGAGAGAGAGAGAGAGAGAGAGAGAGAGAGAGAGAGAGAGAGAGAGAGAGAGA